GACATGCACTTCCACTTGATACAGCAGAGTCTGTGATCCAGCAGCCGCCGAATGCTTATTTACAGACTGAAAGACGTGGAGCTTCTGCTCAAATGAAGCAAGCAGCTGGGCACTTCCGGCTCCAACACCATTCTGGCGCACATTCGACACGCTTGACGTTATAATTGGTGACTGCAGGCAGCCGGCAGGGAGATTCCGTTCAAATTACGAGTGTAAGGAAGTTTTGGAACAAAAAACATGCGGCTTTTGCCGTTCCGGCTGATCTCCGTGCCGAGGCGCCAAAAAATCGTGCTTCATCAATTTTAGCAGTTGGGACAGAGGGGTTTTGACAGTTGTGGAATGCTGGCAATTTTGAAAAGAGCAGTGTCTGCTGGTGTTGCTTCTTTTTTCATCCTCAACCTGAAAGAGCAAAACCCTTCAGATCAAAAGAGGATGGACCTTTTAGGCAAAGGGGGGCTTCAGCACCCCTTTAAGCCCCCCTTTAAGCCCCTCTTAGCTCCCTTAAGCCCCCCTTCAAAGGGTTCCTGCAAAGGGAGTCCCTTCGGGGGGGGGGGGGGGGAAGGCAAAGGGTCAAAGCCGTTAAGCTTCCTCTTCAGCCCCCCTTGAGCCCTCCCTTAAGCCCCCCTTAAGCCCTCCCTTAAGCCCTTTAAGCCCCCCTTAAGAGCCCCGCGCCACGTCACTACTATGAACTCTCTGCTCCGTGTAACTCAAGTGACAAACACAAAAAACAAAAGAAGAAGCAAGCGCGGTGGAATTGCCATGTTTGGTTTTGCCAAAGTCCCTAAAGCACGTTTAGGTTGACTGCGACGCATGTCTTGTCTTGTCGGCATGGCCTAGGATGAGTTTTGAAGCACTTGGAATTGCTTGAGAGCAATAGTGAAGCCCATAAACGTCAAGCAGACAGCTTCACACGTCTTCACTAACCATGTTTGGTGTTCAGGATTGAGCTTTGGGGTTCAGGGTTTGTTTTGGGTTGAGGGTTGAGGGCTTTGGGGTTTAGGGTTTAAAGGTTTTGGGTTCGGCTTTGGATTGAGGGTTTGAGCTTTGGGGTTCAGAGGTTTTTGTTCAGAGTTTGAGGACTTTGGGTTCAGGGTTTGAGGGTTTTTTGTGGGTGCAGAGTTTGGTTATGGGTTCAGGGTTGGAGGGTTTTTGGGTGCAGGGGAGGAGGACTTTGGGTTCAGGGTTTGAAGGTCTTCGGTTGAAGGTTTGAGGGTTTTGGGTTCACAGTTTGAGGTCTTTGGGGTTCAGGGTTTTTGGTTGGCTTTGGATTTCTCTGCAACACCACTGCATGGCAATAGAATTCGAATTTAACTCACGCGTGCTAAGTACAGTAATTCGAATTTAATCCCCGCGCGCGGTAATGACTGTGTGGCAATATAATTCGAATTTAATCCCCGCGCGCTAATGACTGTATGGCAATATGTAGTTCGAATTTAATCCGTAATTCCGAAAGTACAGAATTAAACCTGCCTGGCAGGGCTTAAATTCGAATTTAAAGCCAAGTCTTCGCGATAAGGATTAAATTCAAATGTAACCCCCTCAACACGGAGCCCTGGTCCTCGCAGGGGCTTAAATTCGAATTAAATTCAGAAGCCGTTGGAGGATTAAATTCGAATTTAAACCCCCTCGACGGGCAGATGGATGGCCGCTGAAGCAGGTCTGAAATTCGAATTTAACCTTTATTGAATCTGAAATTCAACCTTATTCGTGTGGAGCCTTTCTACAATCTCATGAGAGAGATTAAGACCTGGCAGGATGCGCACCCACTTTGTTCACAATCGCAGCTTTTTTATACGTTCGCGCAAACACAACAGTCCTGTAGAGCGCAGGACTACAAGTCATTCAGCAGCTGCCAGGTTGAGCGTCTTTTCACGGCGGAAGACATTCCCAGCGACATCAGAAACGATTTTGAATCCCTTCTCCCCGATGAGAACGAGGAAGACGAGTCCGTCCCTCAAGATGTACCGGCCCATTCCCAGCAGATGCCAAGGAACGAGCCAATTCGTCCTCCTCGTCTGCCCACGCCTGAGTTTCGAGGCCGGACAGTGTCGTTCTAAGCGCACGTAAGTACGCGTACTTTCAAGTTACCTGCAATGTCTGCGAAGCGGCAGTTACAGGCAGCACTTACAGGTGCGATGCATGCGACTGGGATGTGTGTCTCACTTGTGCAGAGCAGGCTTGAGGTTTGTCAGCGGCCAGTTTTGTTTTCTCCCTCTCTGGAGGGTATTTAAAGCTGTCTTCAGCAAAGAGCAGGTTGGCCACGTGTTTGGAGCGACTTGCCCGTGTTTGGAACCGTGCAAGCGCATTTCGTGGCTCTTACATCCTTTTCCGTGTGCACAGAGACCCACAAATAGATGTTCCCAGCTGCCCGTTTTGAAGTATGTGACCCTTCTTGCTTGCCGAGTTTTGTCTTGTGCAGATTTGCTTGACAGGAGAGTGCATGGTTGCTCATGTGTGATCCCGTCTGAGAGTTTTGTCCATTGCAACCCGTAAACATCTACAAGATCGGTCAACTGCATGTTTTGCTCCGGTGTGTGTGTGTGTGTGAAATGGTTGGTTGGTTGGTTGGTTGGTTGGTTGGTTGGTTGGTTGGTTGCTTGATTTGTCCTTTGGAGAGGTGACGCTAGTTTAGTTTTCCTCTCAAAAGCCGTTTCCTTCGAGAGGGCGTTTCCTGTGCCCGGTATATTCCTGTCTTAGAAAGGATCCTGTCCCAAGGCATGTGAAAAAAGCTTTGGGGCGTTTCCCAACGACGGGGTCATCCTATGAGAAGTTCTTTCCATTCGGAGGGCGTTTCCCTCCAGAGGGCGTTTCCCTTCAGGGGGGGACCACCCAAAGTCTCTGTGGAGTTTGACGGCTTTTTTGGAGTGTCTGTGGATTCTCTTCAGCAACATCCTATCTGATCAATTTGATCCCGCAGTCACACACCTTCGTTGCAGGAAGCCATCTCTCGCGCACTAATCCTGCAGGGGGAATCACTGTTTACGTGCGCAAAAGTTGCTCTCCGTGTTTACCGCAAGTGACCTCAGAAATCTCACAAACCGGCACATTGCTTTTTGGAAATGGGCGCCTCTTTACTACGTCAGCAGCTCAGTGGGCCGGTCTCTCTCTCTCTCTTGTATCTGGTTTTCAAAACTGCGCTCTGTTGTGGTGGCCTCTGGCTGTTTGGTTGTTGGGGCAAGTCCTTCCTCCTCGATTTGGGAATTCGTTTCAAAACGCGACCCTGAGGGCTTATGGTTGGTTTTTAGAAGGCCCAAAAAATCTTTTGGGCCATGGTGTGGCCTGGCGGGGTAGAGGTTTGGAGGTTCGACTTCTGCTGATCCGGTTGAGTCCGCTTGAGTTGCAGGGAAGACTGCGGTACAGACGTCGTCTCTGCGTCCAGCGATTCAAATCTGTGCCGTAAACTCATGTAACTCAGCAGAGACCTCAACGTGGACATGAACGCGTGACAGCTCGTCGTAGGAACTTCCCACTTCGCAGAGCGAAAATCTCCCGCCTGACTGCAATATCTGAGCTCAGGAAGCCTGGGACGCAGCAGATCAGACGGCTTAAAGAGTGAGACTGGATCTTGTGAAGAAGATTGTGGACACAGCAGTCTGACGCGTGCGAAGCTGAGACTTTGTTCAAGGCAGTTGGATTACTGCGAGAATGTTGTTGCGTGAGAGTGGATGGAAGATCTCGAATACCCACGAAAACTGGCGCATCCACGTGAGAGCATCCGCAATTCTTCCCAACGAGCGCATGGCGCACAGCCCCCATCGCAACAGCAACCTGCTTCTAGGTGCACCGTGCCGGGTCACGGCGCAGGCCTGTATTGAAATCCAATGAGTGTACAGAGTTGACCACAAGTGCAGCTTCAAGGACACTTGAATGCAGTTGAAGTGCACAAGTGCAGGCATACACTTGTCCAAGTGCACACGGTCAAGAGATATTAAGAGAATTCATTAAAAAAATTGAAGTCTTATTAAAAATAATCATTTTTCTTATTTTTGGGGGTTTTCTAGTTTCTGAAGCTCTACTACTTGTATCCTTCTTTTGGACATCTTTTCATTTATTATCTTGTCCAACTTTAGGGATGTGGCCTGGAGAAGCTTTCTATCTTCCAGATCCTTGTGAATGAACTTTTGTTAATACACTTCTTTCATCTAATGCTGCTATATCTTCAGGAAACGAAGTTCCGTCACGCTTGCCGCGCATTGCAGCAGAAATGGTCTTGTTCCAATACTAGCTTTTCGGCACCCCACTTTTTGTCCAATCGCGGCATCAGGCAGCAAACCGCAACCGAAAGGGGTCTGTGACACAGCACAGTTCTAGGTTGTAAAGCTGGGTTTCCACTGTTAGGCTCACACATGTTGGGCCTAAAACTCGTTTGAAAATGTGCCTCTGTGAGGCGTGAAACTGCAGTTTATGCAATTCAGCGATGCAGTGAAGGAGCTCGTACTCGAAAACGTGGATTCTGCATCCTCTCAGCTGCCTACAGTGGTTCGAGACATGATGCCGAGTATGCCGATTGTGGTTGTCCATATCCATCCGTCTAGCAGTCAATTACCTTCCGGGATTTAAGCAGAGGTATTGATGGTGTTCGTTGCACGTGTTGAATGTGTTCACACGGTACTATGCCACTGTGTAAACAAACATGTATGCTTTCGCAAAAATTGAAAGGACAAGATAAATGTTGAAACGCACCTGCGTGACATGACTGGGGTTGTCTAAAGCGACGGTTGAATGCGATGGGCGGCAACCTCAGTGTCCATGTGACATCTGTATGTCGGTGAAATCTTCATCCAGCGGGTATACCCAGGAAATTCCGCTTGCTTCAGTTTCTTGCACAGACCGTCGAAGCTCACCACAGGGTGCGCCGTCTCACTGCAACCATAGTGTCAGTCATCACGCTGCCCTCGCAGTAAATGAAAGCAAAAATCCACGGAAGCTCGCAACAGTTAACACAGTTAACCAAGCTTTATTTTTGCAGGTACTGGGACTTTCGAGGCCTTGGTGCACCCATGAGGACATGAATCGGAGTCAATATGAGCATGTCTTCCCTGCTGATAGGGGGTTGGTGAACACGTGGATTTTAGCAAAAACCTTGATAAACTATACGGGACCTCTTGACCATGATGCCCTTATTGAAACAGTTTTGCCATGATGTCATGTCGTCGTAAACCTTGTAGAACGACAGGGCATGAACGAATAACTCAGAGGCCAGCTCACATGAGCGTTTTTGCACCATTCCTGGTCGGGAGGCTTGTTCAAGGCAATAGGTGCAGTGTCATGTCGATAGGTCTATCAGCCATACGACATCTGAAGGATGATGTGCACCTACGCCAAAGTTCCCTGGGAGGACTGTCAGTCTGGTGCATACGCCAAGGGCTGTCGTTTCCGAGCTGTGGCTGTAGTCAGTGCTTCGTAGTCTTCAGGATGTCAAATATTCGGTCAAACAGAAGGCCAAGGGCAGCTGGATAGCGCCCGAGTCGGATTCTGAGCAAAGGAAGTGTTCATGTGACCAGGCCTCCGAGGTTCAAGGTCTGAAGTGGAGAAGTGGAGCGGTGGAGCTGTAGCCTGGTTGTAAGCCATATGTGTTGATTGTTCGACGCTGCCTTGGTTGCAAGATGTGCTTACATTTTAGAACCTTTCGTGTGGCAGGCAAGACTCACAAGACTGAGAAAGTGTAGCGCAACCGGCTTGCCGAAGAGCCGTATCACAGATCGCAGATGCAGGTGGGAGCGAGACCAGCGACCCCAACTGCGGGAGCAAAATCCTTTGGCGAAGCACTGAGCATGGAGTCGCCATGTCAGGAGACGTATGCCGGCGTAGTGGTGGCAATGTAGGATATGTCTTGGTGACACAAAGGGGGGCCTGAACGCACGACTACCTGTGCATCCGAGCTTTCTCCTGCCCTCATGCCTCACGCCCAGACTTGTCTTGTCTGGTCGTTGACCTGAGGTTCAGCTTCCATACGTCATCAACCACTCAACCGGAGAGGTGCATGCTCCAGCATCAAGTACATTCAGGTGCTTCAGGTAGGTCAGGCAAGAATATGCAAGAGGAGGTTTGGTGTCGTTCGAGGAAAAGTCCAGCTTACTGGAACAGTGCTTGCATGTGGCTCTTGTGGCTTTGTCGTCTCGAGGTAATTGCGCAATCCAGCGCGGTTTACCTGTACCTGGGCCGGGTCCTGGGACTTGGCGGTGCTTCACACCAGGACCGTCCTTGTCCACGGTCACAGTGGCTTAGGGACAGTGGATAGGTAGGAGGCCGTGAGGATCATGGCAAAGAGCCGGGTTCTGGCAACCGAACATCTTCCTCAGGAACAGATGGCTAACGAGCAGGCGGACAAGCACGAACATGCATGAGATGGTCATGAGATGGGAGATGGTAAGTTTGGTGCTTGGTTTAATGTTGCTTGCTGATGTTGTGGTGAAATCCAAGTTTTTTGTCAGGTCCTCTTCTACTTGTATGGAATGTGGATGGAGGTTCGAGATTTGGTGCGGCTTGCATGTTTTCAGATACCGCTGGCATTTCCAGAAGATGTCTCAGCTAACGTGCTCCAGATACCTTTCTGCCAGGTGTATCCTTCTTACACCAGCAGGACACGTTCATCCGTTCATCCAAAATGGCTCCTGAAAGTTCCTGACGCTTCTTGACCTAGGACTGAAGAGAGCTTCAGATCGTCCCTGGACAACCATTTCCTAGGCGCAGGGTTGGGACGATGGATCAGGGCGCTCTGCTTGCCTTCCCTTCCCCAGCCGCCTCGCGCGTCTCCCCCCCCTTCCCCCCCCCCCCCGTTGCATTTGTTGGGTTTAGGGCAGGCAGAGTTTAGGGTTGCTTGGCTTCGTGGTTTATGGATGCTTAGAATGGGTTGGATTCAATAGAGTTTGCGGGTTTTGGGCAAAGGGCAGGGAGAGTGGGTCCAGAGCACTCCAGCAGACACGAGTTCTGTGGTCTCAAGTTGGGGAATGGCCCCTGCAAGAGTTTTTGGTTCATATACTGTCATAGGAATTATCGCAGTATAGGGTATAAGACCCCAATTTCAGGGTTTATTTATGTTTATTTGGTCCCCAAGGCAAGAACATGCAAGAACCTTCTATGATGCTGCTTCTGAAGCTCTGCACGGGCGGGGGAGAAAGGGTCTTCCAGAAAATCCAGTCCAAGCACGCAGGTTTACAGCTGCACGCCATTGTCGAGTTTGCTAGGGTAAGTTGGTTCCCAGCAGCTTAGATACAGAGTGCAGATGCAGAGGCCCCAGTTGTGGCTCCCACAGCCGGGAGCACTGCAGCGCTGTCGCGAGCTGATGACGGAGGCTCGGAAGGCCCAGCTGCAGGTAATCATCGACTTTGACCACACCATCACGCGATTTCGGAATCCTGATGGCTCCAAGATGGCTCAGTGCCATGATGCCATCGAGCTTTCTCCGAGGATGCCGGAGCAGCTGCGAGCAGATTACCAGGTACTTTGGCAGGATCAAGGGGCGAGACTCGCCGCTGGCACTTGGACGTGGCAGGAATGGTGGAGCAGGAGCCATGGTCTTTTTGTTAAGCATGGCCTTAAGGCCAGCTGGCTTTCTGAGATTGTGGCGGAGAGCGGCATACGTGTGCGCGATCACTTTGTGGAATTCCTTCAGGTGCTGCAGGAGCATGATGTGCCAGTTCTCATCGTTTCTGCTGGCATAAGTCAAATAATCGCAGAAGTCTTGCGGCAGACTGGAGTGAACCCTGAAGCTGTACAGATCTGTGCCAACGAGATGGTTTTCGACGATGATGGCACCTTGATTCGTTTCATCACCCCGGAGATCACGCCCGACACAAAGTCCGACATCGGGAAGTTCCAGGATGAGTACTTTTCAATGATAAGACGCAAGCACGTGGTGGTCATAGGTGACAGCATCACAGACACTGATGTGATAAAGAAGGTGTGCGGGGTGGAGTTGATGCTGCTGGTTGGTCTCTACAACGTTGAGCGTGACAACTGGGTTGCCTTTCAATCCGCTTTTCACATGGTGCTCAGCAATGTGGCTTTAGAACCAGGCGAGGACCTGGATTTCCGGCCATTGATTGAACTGCTGCAGGTCATTCTGGGTTTGCGGCCAAGTGCCGTTGACCCGTTCCTACAGCAGATCCTGGCTTCTGGTCAGCGTGGCGAGATTGCGGAATGACCGGATTCCAAACAGGCCTGAGCTAGATGCGTCATTCTTCCGCAAATGCAGGAGTGATGGCCGACCATAACGTCTCCAACATGGATTCCCCAGCTGGCCAGCTGGATGGTCTCCTCGATTGCTTTGGGTGCGGGCTGGACAAAAGGCATTCGCGTGCCAGCGGCTACATGGGGGTTTACGAAAATAGGGGACCCCTCAATAGACCTCCAAATAGTAGGATCCCTTTATGACAATAAGGACCCATAAGGTACCCCAACGGAAACCCCCACACGTGCCAACATGTGTCAACCATTCGATGTTCTGGAGGTGTGTCTGGACACTACGAGAAGCTGGAGGCATGGCTCAGGCCGCTTCTGAGCACTTTGCGCAGCGTAGCCCTTGAGCTTGAGTGGCTTGCTGTGGGTGCCGCTGTCGGTTCCGAGTCATGCAAGTAACTGCAAGTAATGATCTGTGCAGCTTCGAGTCGCTTCAGAAGTAGAGTGCAGTAGGTTTCAGGGCCGCAGGCTGCTGTGTGGATGTGTGTAGAGATGGACGTGGATGTGGGGCCCTGGGGGTAGTTTCAGGAGCAGCGGTCATTCTTGCTCCTCTTGTGCTTCCGTGACATACCCGAAAAGTTTTTGTTGGACATCTTGCACTGTACGCTGTTGCTGCGGAGGGCCGGGCATATGCTCTTTGGATCTCTTTCCGAAGAATCGTCGCCCAACTTGTGACAATCAAACAGATGCAATCGTTCCCGTGTCCACTGTTGTTGCCTGTTTCTTGAGATGGCAAGGCAAAGGGATAGCCCCTTTTTCGCTTGCTCGCGGCCCTGCACAGCAGACTTTCACGCCTGCGTCACAGATTTGTGCTTTCAACATTGAGAATGTACAGGTGGCTCATGCGTGATGACACTCTAGCAGGACCATGTTGGGTTGTCCCATCATGAAGGTCTGGGAAATGTTGGACCAGCAGGAGTGCATGGCGCGTTGGGCCCCAGATGCTTTGATCACGCGGTGGGGCAGTCAGCTGCCGCACAGAATTCAGGTGCATACGGCTTCAAGTCTCCTCTGGAGGGTTATTCTTGCATGAAGGCATCGGGTGGCAACAAGCCACTAACCCTTTGGGCCAGCTCCTGGTCGTTTCTTACACTTTCCTTGCAGGCCTTCTACCAGCGATTCCGAGAGCTGCCGGAGCTGGAACCCTACTTCGCCAGCGGAGCCCTGACTTACCGAGATGCCGTCACATGTTGTCATGAGCAATGCTGAGTCCTGTCACAGTATGAGCCGGTATACTCACATGGTCCCTACTGGAGCAACAGAAGTTGTGTATCTTCCGGAGGTTTTCTGTTTTGCAGATAAGGAGACTATTCCTTGCCGATGAACAACAAAATGGCCTTCTACAAGTGAGCTCTTCGCACGTCCTGTGCGATCTTGCAGTTGTCCATAGTCGTGGCGACTTCGTCCGCTTCTCGAAGTTCTCTCGAATTGGTTAACCTTTTAGCTGCACGTGCAGGTGCACAGGCTGTACAAAACTGCGTCTTCTATGCATGTCTATGCGTCGGGCCGCCCACACGTGGTGGGCCCTGGATAGGTTTGGTTGTGGTCGGTTAAAGCTCGCCTGAAGCCGTCTAAACATGCCGTGTGGATGCTCAGCAACATGCTTCTCAATGGAACTGGCTGTGCCGTCGTGTTTGGGGCATTTGTGATGGTGCAGTGACCAATGATGTGCATACTTGTGCATTGTTTGCGTATTTTCATTGCAGTCCCACACTGCAGTCGCAAAGTGCGCACGAGGCAACAGCTTGTTCAGGGCGTGTGGGAAGTACTGCATGCAGGATCTGAAACATGGAACAATCATGCATTATTTCACTGGCTCTGCAGCTGATAGAAAAGTCCTCCGCGCGCTTCGCAGCGCCAGTGCCCAGAACCCAGTCCACTGGTCCATGCCGCGGATAAAGCGAAGTGCGAAGGGAAGGGATGGAGCGAACGGACGCATTTGCTGCACTTTTTTAGGAGCCCAGAAATGCCTGACAACGCGGAGGAAGCTCCAGAGGTTTGGCGCTTTGAAAGACCACTTGACGCCGGACGTTCAGTGTTCGACTGTCTATGGGAGGCCCAAGAGGCTGAAAATGGAAAGAAAAAGAAGAAGGAAAAGAAGGCAAGTTCATTGGTCATGGGCTCCTTTTCATCCACAGAGTGTTCAGGACGATTGCCACAGTGCATGAACCTGCCTCGTTGTGAGGGATCTGCAGAGTGGCGGGCAATTCTAGGTAGCGCTGAGTCTCCTGTGTCATGCCTCCTTCATGTGGCTGCAGGAGAAGAAGGCCGAAGTCGTCAAAGACGAGAAAATGGGCCAGGTAAAAGACGAGGCAGCTGCGCAGGCTGCAGAATGACAGAGTTTGGCAGTTCTTCGTTTGCTTTGATGAGGACCTCGACTGGATTTGGATCGGTGGCGCAGAGGCTCGGGGCTGAGGCTGCACTGGGAAACATTGGGAAAGTGTGTGTATATATATATGTATATATCAGACATTACATATCAAGTCATATGCATATCTATAGCTATATGTATATGTATATGTATATGTATATGTATATGTATATGTATATGTATATGTATATGTATATGAAAATGTATATGTATATACACATATATATCTAGCAATGTCGTGAACGGCCCTGGGAATGCCAAGAACATCGAGCATACCGTGACTTCCTGCTCAGGATGCGCGAGACCGGGAAGCTCTCGAGCGTGCCAACATCCGGTGCTCCGCTTTGGGGAAACTTCCGCTGCTGTCTGCAGAGTTCCGCAGAGAAGTGGACGAGCTCCTCCAACAAGAAGTCGCGCTTTTGTGATTTTTTTTGCCCGTGTGCACCTTTGATTCAAACTCATCGGATGCTGGGCCAGAAGTCGGTTGGATCGAACGGTCGGATACGGATAGGAGAAGTAGCAACAACACCACCGGGCAAGGCAAGTCAAGACTCAAAAACAGAACCTCTGCCTAGCAGCTGCTGTGTCACACTGAAGTCTGCTTTAAGGCATTAAGCCCTGTCCCACGTATAGTGTTGTCATGCTGGATGGATGTGCTGCTGCTACAAGAAGCTGCTAGGGCTGAGGCCGTCGCCCGACTCCAGGAGGAATCTGCTCAAGAGTGGATGGTTTGTTTGCTCTCCAAATTCAACAGCAACTCTCTGAAACTCGCTCTGGCTGCGGAGGAGGCGCGTTCCCCCATCGAGGCGTGGAGGGCCCGTGATGCAGCTCTGGCTTCGGAGAGAGCCGCCAAGGCTCCAATCATCATGTTCCAACATGTTGCAAGATGTCAAAAGGTGCCCAAAAGTGCACAAAAGTCGGATCAAAGTCGGTGCACCGGAAATGGTTTGGCCCTTTGGGTCCCTTGTTTGGGCGCCCGTTCAACTAGGAGGCGGCCCTGGCTGAACTCTGCGATCAGCGGCGTCGGCTGGTGGAACGAATTAACTTCTGCAAGCAGCAGGATGAGATGTGAAGAATGTCAGGCTGCTAGAAAAGTGCCTCGCTGGTGCATCGCAGACAGGATTCGCGCTGGTGGCCGGAAGCTGCACGCCTCCAGGCAAAGCTGAATCTAAAGCTCAGCTGGCATTTACCTTTGCCGAGACGATCATCCGGCATCGTAAGCTTGCAGACATGCCCCTAAACCCTAAACCCTAAACCCTCAACCCCAAACCCCATACCCGAAACCCTAAACCCTAAACCTTAAACCCTAAACCCTAAACCACAACAGGCGCAGCTGGCTGGTGTTCAGCAGGCCGTGCAGGCCATCGAGCAAGAGAAGGCCCCACACAACTTGCCTTCTGTCGAGTCCCTTGTCTGTCATGCTCATGCAGGCCCGTGCCCAGCAGGCGCAGGAGCAGAAAGCAGATCCCTGCAGCCGTTTCACAAATGCGCTCAAGGAGCACTTGCGGCAGTGCGAAAACCGAACCTTGGCTACAAGAGTTTTCAGATTTTCTTAGTCGTTCTTGAGGGGCTCCTTTCTCCATGAATGAAATCATTTCTGCATCCTGCCGGTATTGAGCCAGTTCGACAGAACTTGGAAGTAAAGGCATCCACAACTATGAGCCAGCTACTCGTACTTAAAGGCTGAACGTTACAATCAAGCGCTGTCAAGTATTGGGTTTCATTGGCAACATCGTTGTAGTGCTGCAGGTACTTGTCCGCTAGCTCATTTGCATCAGCAGCCGGTGCTCATCCGCGAATGGCGTGAGCTCGTATTGCCACTTGCCATAGATATGCTGAGCTGCAGCTTGAAGGGGAACTGGAGACCATCACCCAAGGTCGAGAATCATCCGAAAGTCTACCCAGGCTCTCCATGTGCGTCAGTAAGCTTCCTGTCGGATGCCATGCAGAAGGTAGTTAATCGGCGGATATCTGTACTGTCCCTGCATGTCTGTCTCATTCAGTCTCCATAGAGAGCAAGCCTGCCGTCCGCATGGCGCATGGGTGCGCATGGGAGGTGCAAGAGGTGCTGACACAGAGATCCCATGTTTTCGAGATGTACGAAGACTCGGAGGGGCGTGTCGCCGTTCGCTTCACTGGGGAGAAAGGCCGCGAAGTCCGGGGACGAAATGTTTGAGTCGGAATCTATGCACCTTTTGTCAGGTGATGCCGGCAACCAGAAGTTGGACCTCTTCCAAGGCCACAGTCTTAATGCCAATTTGCTCATCATAGCATCCCAGCGCGAGTCCTCGGGAAAAGCCATAGAAGTCAGGCTTGACGCCCCCCGTGCCACAACCGCTACCACCTGGGCGAGTCTACCAGTGCCGTGGCCGAGATTTGCATGCAGCAGCTAAGCAGAGCGAGGCTTGAGTTGCTAGGTTTGGCGGTGGGGCTTCAAGATTGGACGTCACCTTGCTTGGTGTATACCGAGAACCTGGGACCACTGGATCCCACGTAGGGGTACAATCACTCTTGGGCCAGCTTTCGTCCGGGGATACTTCGACTTGCATGTACTTGCGACGACTTGAGAGGTGTGCCTTACCGGCGGTGGTGGAAGAGCAAGTTCCGCCACTGCGTCCCGAGCAGGCAGGGAGGCGACAGTGGCGTTATGCTGGCCTTCTTCCGACGTGTTCCGTGTCGTGAGGTGGCTGAGATCGAGGAGGAGCTGCTGAAAGCAGGTGGCCACTGGCTTGCAAGAAGCTTGTCCGAAGCCCGTTTGAACAAAACAAGTAAATGTCTCCGCAAGTTCTTGGAAAAGTTGGAGAGCCCCTGTACAGTGGGGGGGCCGGGGGCCCCTTGAGGCAGCGAGCGCTTTCGGCGCCTCAGCCTCCACCTGGGTGTTCAGGAGCGGCAGGTGCACGGGAGAGCGCTCACAAGCTGACAGGGCTAGACAAGAAGTGAGTTCTGAAAAGTCCCAATGCAAGCCGCTCATTGTTCAGTTTTGAGATGTTTTTTTGAGCCTTCTGTTTGTGCCAAAATGGGAGCCTTGACTGTTCTGCAAGGTGCAGGTCCACTTTCGACTCTACGAAGATCAGGGTAAGCTGTTCATCAGCCATCTGATTCCAGAGCGGGAGCGCTTCGAGTCCATGCTCTTCAAGCTGCAGCCTACAAGGCGATGGATATCGATGTTATGAGCTGTTGCTGCTTGTTGGTTTTGGGGGGTCCAAACCTGGAAACCTGCACGTTTTGGGGGTCCAAACCTGGAAACCTGCACGTTTTGGGGGTCCAAACCTGGAATTTTGGGGGTCCAAACCTGGAAACCTGCACGTTTTGGGGGTCCAAACCTGGAAACCTGGTGTTGGGACTTGGAACTGCAAGCTCCTTTCCGAAATTCCCACTCCACGCAGGGCTTGGTTCACAGCGTCGCGTTTACGTGTTGAATGCGGCGACCCCCTCCACCGGACAAGCGAGACCATCCAAGAAGCACCATCCTCCTTGGATGAGCTGTCAGTCGCAAAGTAGCCTTCGAGTTTGATTGTTCTCTACCAAGAGAGGCTGCATGGTGATCCCCAGCAGCCTCAAAAAGAACATGCGAATGGCAAAACCAGAACATGAAGTAGCATGAAGAATTATGAGGTAGCACGACGAAGCCTCAGATCCGGCGACTTAGGTAATTGCTCACTACGGGCTTTTTGTTGTCATCGTGTTAGGGCTTTTCACATCTGCTGCACGGCCCGCGTTGTGACGGCCCAGCTTGCCATCTCTGGCTCGTTGCGTTGAGCGATGTTTTTTTCAGCAGTCGTTGCTGTGCGTCGGGCAGAGCTTTGTGTGCAAATGTTGAAGAAGCATGTGCTCTTGTGTGCCCCTGCGGAGTCTTCAGGCCTGCAGTGGGCGAAGCAATGGCATTCTGCATGGAGCAAGCAGCGATGCACGGCGCCATGCTGGCACAAGTCCTGGTGGCTTGGAAGCACTGGGAGGAGAGAATCGGCGTTTTTGTGCGACAATGTGCGAGCATATGTGCGCGTATAAGGTGCTAACCCCCCACCCTCACCCCCATGCCTCCGCGCCACCCCTTCCTCCTTCCCATCCTTGAGGGTTTTGAGGGTTTTGAGGGTTTGAGGGTTTAGGGCTTTTAGGGAGAGACGAGGCGAAGCCTATGGGCCCAGTGTCGGCACTTTTGGAACGCCAAGATGAGACCTTCCAAAAGTAGGTGACGACAGTTATGAGGATGGCGAACCTGGGAGGGGGGGGGGGGGGGCACGAGGAATCTTTCAAGGCACTCCACGTCCCCCCCCCCCCCCCCCCCCCCCCCCCCCCCATGGTATGGTGTGTTGTTGTGGTTGATTTTGGGTCTGACCTCCCCCCGCTGTGGTGTGGCTGTGGATTGGTTGGGGCTTAGGGTTCTAGAAATTTCGGGTTTTAGGGCTGCCTTATCTGCCAGCAATGTGCCCAAGTCCCCCTTCTTGTTCTATCAGAGTTGGACAGGAACCGTACAGCTGCCCATTGTCCACCATGGCACCCTAGCCTCGCAGCCTTGTGATTGGGTCTTCACGGAGCTGTCGTTTCCCGACCTTATACCGAGCAATGCTGCTGCCCTAGTACGAAGGTTTCTTCGCTGACGCTGCCGGGCCTGACCTCTGCGTCCGTGCTGGCGCGCCTGTTCCTGGTGAGCGATGTCCTTTGGCCCAGTGTCATAGTATCATGCATTGACATGGCACTGAAGTCACTGAAGTCTCTGCGGGTTTGCAGCGGTCTGGCGCGCGGGCATGTTGCGTGCGCGTGCGTGTAAGCGCTCAAAGTTCACCTCCCGCGCCTCTCCCGCATCTCTTGTTTGATCCCGTGCTTTTCCGGTCGAGGTCCTCTTCAACTCCAGGTGTTCTGCAGCTCAGCTGAAGCAAGTCAACATGTTTCGAATGAGACACTGCCATTGGCTATGGCTACACGTTGAAGATGTATGCATCTGGGACAAGAAAAACTACCTTGTTAACGCATTGATGCTCAGGCCAAGGGAGCTGCCAGATATCGATCACAATTCGAGGAGTGATGGGCGATGATACGCACCTCCATTTGTTGGGTGGTTGCATCATGCAAAGCCCGCCAGGAGTTGCTGCCAGATGCTTTTGAAAAAGTGGGCCAGTGCCTGCCTGGCCAAGATGCGGCTGAGGCTTACAAGCTAGACTCAACGGATCCTGGACATTCTCATGATGAATGGTGCAAATGTGTCTGTCAGGCAGCGTCGCACAGCATGCTCGATGCGTGGAGGTCCGTCGCGCAGAAGACAAGATATTGCTTCTAAACAATTTTGGGGCACCCTTAAACCATTGCCATAAAATCCGACAGGACGTGGGATGTTTTCCCTTCCGTCTTTCTGGAGATCCTGACAAATTTGAGATGTGCTAGCTTGTTGCATGTCCGTGCTGCTGGTAAGCTGCAGCCAAGGGGTCACATGCCAGGATGGTTTGGAGTCATTGCTGCTCTCGCCGACCCCTTCATCATTGGAGGCCTGCCTTGCCGCGGAGGCCCGGGAGCGTTGAGCCAGCTCATCCTTATCATCTGTTACACAGATAGGCAGAGGGCTCCCTATTGCGGAAGAAGCTGGAGCGCTGGGCCTCGGCGGATGTCTCCCCGACGGAGGCGAGACCGTTGGAAGGCTCAGGCCACACGCTTGTTTTTTTTGGGACCTGAATGGACGCATCGGGAGTTTTTGGAGAGGTGCGGCAAGGTGCCAGGCGCCGTGGTCTGGCTGGGACGCACTTGCCGGTCGCGCGCTGCCGGCTGCGGCTCTGCCACTGCGAGCGCTATTGGCACGGGCGTGTGCAGGTGGCTATGGGCACTCACTACCCATCAATAGAGAGACGCAGGGAGGGCCCCGTGATCTCCAAAGAGTATCACCGGAAGAGAGATCGATCTTCACACTTCCGTATCAGCCCCTTGTGGAGGTGCGTGAGGAGGTCGCCGAGAGAGACGAGGCCCACCCGCAACCTTTCTGTTCCAACTCCGGGACTCTTCCGGACACCAGGTACCACCCTCTCCCGAGCTGATGGACGTCGACGATGCCCGCAGTATTGACGGTGACCCGGCAGAGGGCGAAGAGGGCGAAGAGGCCCTAGGGGGAGCGGGTGTTCCATTCCACGTGTTCTGCACGGTGCTTCCTCGGCCATCGGCTGCCGGGTGCAAGTTACAAAGAATGGGGCGGTGCCATCATGTTCCATAATAGACACAGCATGACACAGCCAATGCTGAACTTCTAACCAAACTGGCGTGAGACTCCAAGTATCAGAAAGCCGGCAGCAGCATTGCAGCTACTGTAAACCGCATATCCTTGAAGCAAATGGAGCTCGATGTCGGAGCAGTGCTGCCCTGTTTTGCAGGCTCCAGCGGCGTGGCCCGTTATGGGGCTCACGCAGTGGCCCCTAGGAATTGGCATGGATGCAGGTGCTTTGCTGGCAAGACTGACATTGAACGCAACTCTTCACACAGTCTTCGCACAGTCTTGGCGTCTTCTTAGCCGAGGTGCTCTGCCAGACATGTTTGACTCCAAGTCTGTGACAGCTGGAGCTTGCCAAGAGAAAAAAATCGCTGCGCTCATTGAGTTGAGACTCAGGGCGTTTCGTTGTGAGGAAAAGAGAGTTGTTCTTGAACGTTGCATTCGTTGCTTTTGACCAGGTATGTCCTGAACTGCACCCCGCCGCGTTCAGATGGCGGAGTGGCAAACGTCTATGAGAAGGCGAACTCAGCATCAGTTTGAACATGGCGCATCTAGTCTCGCTCTTTTGTGCCTGTGAAAGATATCCGCCTAGACTCCATGTGTTTGATACCTTGCTGGGAGCATGAGTGGAACCCATCCCATTCCTTGCAGGACCCAAAGTTCGAGTACTGCCGTGTCTCAATGGGCGACAATGCCACGGAGACCTTGCAGTCTCGATTTGAGGCCTAGCAAACGGAAGAAGGCTTGAGCTTACACCCCTGCAGCCGACGTGACGTGGCGAGGCAAGCTGGAACTTCTTAGAGAAGGCCCGGATTCGCGAGGACACGAGCTGTTCTCAAAGGTACGGGCTGGCGCAGGCAAGTATGTGCTTCGTTACACGTCATTGCACGAGGACGGCTCTGTCCTAATTCACTGCCAGCAGGGGGTCTCACGCAGTGTGCACCGACCCAAGAACATCCAGGAGCAACGGCCCGGAGGAGAGATTGAGTGTCCCATGATTAGATGGGAATGTGCTCTTTGCAGGTTCAGACAGAAGAAGCTGGGGATAGGCAGCTAACAAACACATGAGCGTTTGTAGGTGAGCGTGGGACCTTCAACCCCCAAACCGGAGATTGGGAGCGGATCAAAGGAGATGGTCCTAAACCCGAGAAAAAGAAATCAAGGGGACTTGGGAAATGTTTGGAAGTAAGGTCCATGGCGATGGCTTACATGATGAAGTACTACAGGACGCCCTGGCACACCTCCCTGTCGATGGCTTTGCTTGGGCAAATCTGCTTGCGCAAAAAGGTTGGAGGCTTCCCACATCTTGCCGCAGCAGCGCTACCCCTGTAGAGAGTTATCTGCAACGTGGAGCAGGCAGATCGCCAGAACACTGTAGACCTTTCTTTACTGCCATGATGCCCCAAATCACTTGCATCGCACAATCAACACAAGTACAATGCACCGCAGCGACCTGCGATTTTGAGATGTTTTAAGTCCAATGGCGAAGTGTGTGCTTGCCTCAGGTACCCAAGACACTGCAGTTAGACAAGCGACAATGAACAATTCGAGTCAGTCATCCGAAACCAGCATCGCTCCCAGGTCAAACATTTCTGCTTTCGCCTTTCTGGCAGACAAGTGCCTGAAGGCCAATATCTTTGACGCAGCTGAACTAAGTCTGAGGTCACGGTTCTTTGCGGTGACAGGTGAGACGCCCCTGTGCTCGGCAGATGCACCAGACAGTGCAGAGGACCGGCTACCGAATAATGTCGAGAGCAGACTCTGCCCATGACTCGTGATGTTTCATGACTACCCCTAAACCCTGAACCCTGAACCCTAAACTCTAAACCCTAAACCCTAAACCCTAAACCCTAAACCCTAAACCCTCCAAGTCCGCAGAGCAAAGGCCTCCAGAGCAGCCACCCGAGCTTTACGACAGGCAGGGAAGGTTGCGGTCGCCGGAGTTCAGAGTTGGTTTTCAGCACGTTTGCTTCACGGCCTCAGATGTTTAATATCTGCCCATAAAGCATAGAGAGATGGGCCCTACCGGCCCTACCGGTCTGAGACATCTTAGATGCATGCTGGCATCGGGCGCAGCAGGTCCGAAGCTTGCAGCGGCAGTACCAGCAGCTGCTGCAAATCAGACTCGCTTGTCTTGGGACAGGCTTGAAAGATGCTGAAAATACCAAGTTCAGATAAAGCCACGGGCAGCTCAAGCTCTCCCATCCCCCGCTCCCAACAGGATCTCTTTAAAGTCTCTTTGCCAGGCCGGCCCTTCGCACCGCACTCTCCTCGTCCTGCGTGTCAGAGGCAGACGTTAGCCTCACAGCCCTTTTTTGTGAAGCCCACGGCTTCAGCTTTTTGGGCATCTTGTGCCCGTGTGATGCTCGTGGGGTGCTTCTCTGGGCCCCTCGAGCTAAACACAGGCGCGGCTGCTGCACGTGCGAACCGGCTTGGCGGATTTGGAGGATCTCCTGGAGGCCAAACGAATCGTACAAAGCATTCTAAGAAGTGCGCGCCACTTTAGACCTTCCGAATAAAGGTAATCAGCATTGCACAGAGTTCAGTACTGTAGTGACCGTAGTGACCTCTACAGGCTCCAGTCGCACCGTTTGATCGTGCATGCTGGCTCTGCAGCACGGTTCCTGCTACGTCCGACATCGCTTCTGTTACATGTCTTTCTAGCCCGGTTACACTTCCCAGCAGTTCTTGTTTCTTCTGGGATGGTTGCAGTGTTGGTTCCATCAAAGCAGATGCATCGCTTCAGCCTGCGCTGAACCCAACGAGCGGTGGGGCTTTCATAGGTTTCCAATTTGCTGACATTCTGCCAGGGATCTTTGGCTGCCAACTCAGCCAGTGGCGGCAACGCCGTTTGCGAGGCCTGCTTCAATCATGAGTGCGCGTTCCCGAAATTCATGAAGGTTTGCATGCTAATGTTGCCGCCCTGTCCTTGTCGACAAAAGGTCGTCGCCTGCATCGCAGCAGAGGGCGGAGGAGCCTGGCGGCCGCGGCGGATGCTGCTGAGCGTTCCTTGTCCTCCCTGCATCTTTTGTAAGATGTTTTGTGGGTTGCTCGTTTCTTCCCTGAAAAGACAGTTGCCAACCAGTCCCAAGAGTGAGTTCGATTGAGGATGCTGGCTTCACTCTGCAGAATCAGGCGTCCAGTCAGAGCTTCTTTGTCCTTCGCTCAGTGTTTACAAGAAGTAGCCGTTGCGAGAACTGAGCCGAGCTGCAAGTATGGTGCAAGCGTGTGCTCAACGTTCTCCCTAGCCTTCGAAGTGCCCAAGTCCATCTAATGCAGGGGGAGAGGGCCACAGAGCTGATGCCCTGGAGCGATGTGCAGCGCTCGTGGCTGAGTGATGCAAGGGCATGCAATGGCTGGCATACAAGAGTCTTTGCTTGTAGTACTCAGGGGACGCCTTAGGGAAAAGGTAGCGCTGGGATACACAATAGTTCTGTAGAATCATCGGGAGAACGTGGACGCAGAAAAGCAGCTTAAGCATGTTGAGGCGTCTCGGTCTTCGACCCGAGTGCCACACCGAGCCAGTCCTCGAAGCCGCGGGGGCCCCTTGGGGCCTTTCCGCTTGTGAGAGAGGCCGAGCGATCGAGGGGGCAAGCCGGTGCGTTGCAGTCGCCCGAGGGCGCGGCAGAGCAACCACCTCTTCGAGGCCGCAGCGTCTGTGTTGATGGCTACAGACACTCTTAAACATCCCGAAACCCCAAACCTTATGCCCTAAATCCTAAACCCTAAACCCTAAATGTCTTTCATCTCTGTCGCCCTCTGCCCCAACTTTTCAGGCCGAGCTCGAGCTTTCCAAGCCGCCCGGCCGGCTAAGGCTCCAGCTTCCCGGCTGCAGAAGTGATCGTAAGAGTAATGCAAAAGTACCATCGGAAGGTAAGAGTATAAGGATGAACAAGAGAGTGATACAGTAAAATGACAGATGGTACGATTCTGACGCGTATGCTTATTGTGTGCCGTGTGATGCGGAGTGCATTGCCTGAGTTGCTCGCGTGAGCTCTCAGTGTCTCTAGTGTGGTGTCATCTTGATTGCGATTGCTCCTTTTTCACTTGCCTTGTACAATGGCCAGTGAGAGCTGGACAACGATGTTAAAGGAAGAAAGGCTGCAACCAGAGGTGGTTCAAGCGTTGCCACAGCAGGATACCAAACACAGGACACTTCAACTTTCCCTCAGCAGTCGTGTTCGATGGCTTCGCGAAGGAGTTTGTTATCAACAGCGGCGCCATACATGGAGTCACAGCGGAGAGTTGGAGTTTCCATCCGATTGTTGGTGTGTTGCGTGGTATTTGGACACGCTGCCACGCTCAGTGTGGGCCGGAACCCAGTCAGACAAGTTTGGCGCTGACCTTACCAGCGCCGGCCGGGGCGATGGTGCCATCCACCAAGCCCACTGCCGAGGATCGCGATCGCATGGGGCGCGAGCTGGAGAAGAAGTATCCAGGCACCTATATCACGCCGGCCAGCCTTCCCACCATGTCGCTGCTCCACATTGTCTCAGGGCAAGCAGCGGCGAAGACCTGGAATGGTTCTCCTGGAAGGAACAAGATATTGAGTGACAAAGCAGCCACTGCAGTGCGAAGCCGCAAGAGTGATGGTCCCAGGGATGTCCTTTCGGAGTATCTTACCATGGCTAGCAGGTGCGCAGACAGAACAGTGGGACCAAGAACTATCGCCGTCGCCGTGCCGGGTGCAGGGCCTGCTGCAGGTGCGTGCACATGCTTTTGCAATGGTCGATGCGTTTCCCCTTGGTAGCTGGGCGCTGTATATCGCGCGCTTCCTGGAGTACTACACGGCTGATGTTAGAGAGCGCTTCCGTGCACCAGCCGTTGCTGAAGCAGAGGAGAGGCTGCGCTGCAAGAGATGTACAGCCTATGCTACGCCGGAGCGACACTGGATGATACCCTTTCGTCAGTTACTGTGGATAGTGATCTCTTGCGACATCTGCTCACCATTGTCCCCCGCGGCGGAGGATGTCCCGCCGTCGCCAACCAAGCGGCGCCGTCCTGCTGCGAGTCCCGTCAAGGCCACAAAACCACGGTTGGGTGAGTGTTTCAAGTGGATGGACGGGAAACGCTCCGATCGGGACTGCCCTTACAAGCACTACTGTGCACGTTGTGGAAGCGTTCAACATGACTGCCGGCGGCGCAGAAGCGTGGGCAGTGGGCCCTGCCAACAATGGTGCCACTTGCTGCCAAAAGTGTGTCCGCGTGCAGTTCACGCCTCGTGTGTGGTACGATCACTACTACATGTCATGCGAAGTGTCAGCATGTTGCTTTGACTTCCTTGTTTGATCTGCCGGCTGCCGATCACTGCAGCCGATAGTTTATCAAAGTCCCGCCCGCCCGCCCCGGTTCAAGGGATGGTGCAGCGGAGCCGCTGCGGATGATGAGCCGTTGCACCCATGTGTGCTTCTTTTCAACTGGAGTTCTTGAAGCAGGGCTTGGTCGAATGACGACAGGCAGGCTGGGCCCTGCCAACAATGGTGTTACTTGCTGCCACAAGTGTGTCCGCGTGCAGTAAGTAGTGATTGAGTCGTAACGAGTTTTGGGCACACGCTTGCCAGCTCGATGCACAAGACAGGCGAAGTGAAGACAAAGGTGGCATTGATGCTCTGTCAGATGTGCCCTTGTTGAGGTTCGGTGCTGCTGGGTGCGGTGCTTAGTGCTGCTCGAACCAGGCACATGTTCTGAGTCTTCTGCGTGAGCTGCGATTGGAGCTGACGCGCCCGGCCGGCATGAGTAAGCTTAAAAATCGGCAAACAGATGAGGCCGGCGCAGGTCCTTCAGCAGCTGTGGCAGCAGTCGTCGCAAGGTCCGGTGATGTCCTGTGTTCCTCACTCAGAGACAAAGTGCACAGATGCTGGCTGCAAATGCCAGCTTTCTCGTCAGGTGTTTCCACACCACTGCCGGGAATGGATGTGCTGCTGGAAGAGCTGAAAATAACCAAAGGCAGTGCGGCAGAGCCCTTGCAGGCTGCGACCTGAATCCGTTTCTTATCCAGGCTCACCACCTTGTCCGACTCGATCAGTCTTTTCAACGTCGCTACCAGATGGGACCACCATTGCAAAGGCTTTGTAGCCCAGTGCCCAGTGCGAAGAAAGCTAGCTTGGGTGGCTTTTACGCCAGGTGCGACAAATGTTCAGCACCAACGGCCCGGACAACCCGATCTCAAGGCCAGGTTGTCTGGGACACGATGTGGCAACATGATGTGGCAACGCCCTCTTCCCTCGCATCATGGAAGGCTCCATGCCAGAATGGGTGCCCAGAGTATGGTGTCTCCAGCTGTGTTTTGAAAGGCTTGACCTGAGGTTGCTCCGCTCCTTTGCAGAAGCATCGTGTAGTTGGTTTCAAAAGCCTATAGGAGATTGTAGCTCCGGGCTGTTGGTCCGGCTGTTGCGACGGCGGGTCACACCTTCACACGAATTAGCCTTTTTCCAGCACGGTCGCCCACGTAGCGCTGTGATATGCTCGCTTTCAATTTAGTTTCACGGGAAGATACCGGAAGTCTAACGTCGGATCGAGGCAGGCATGCTGCGCATGGCAGGTCGAGCGAGACTGGGAGCCTTTGGCAGGAGGATTGGTGAAGTGCATGCACTTTGTCCAGCCACTGAAGCTGCAGCCCCGGTGTGGGAGAAGTCTACACCAATCTAAGCCAAGGTCGAATATAAACCTTAATTGGTTTTAGTAAAAAAGATAAACCTTAGACTTCATCGTGATTTGACCTGAAATAGAATTGAAATAATCCAGTTCAAGTCAAATCACTCCATTTCCAGGGTAAACCTTGTTGTCACGCAATTCCAGAGAACATTGTCGTGCCTTTCCCGTCAAGGCCCCAGCCAATGGCACCGGAGAAGACCCGAGTGCGGGCTGCTCAGGACATCTGTTGCCGTTGGGCCCATCTTCGGTAGTCTTCGATTCTGCGGCCGTGTTTGCCGCCCAACGTTGCACCTTGCAGGTCGTTGGTTTACTTCCTCTGTCCCACGGAGGGGTCGAAGGTGGGCTGCATCCGCCATCACAAACGCACATCTGTAATCTGCGGGACCTGCCTTAGTGTGCCCATCAGCTTTAGCCTTCCTTCATGTTGTGGTTTCGAGCTCAAATTTTTTTGTGGGAGCTCCAAGCAATGCCAGCACCGTCCCCTTTAACGACGACCCTTGCACTTCGTACGTCCAAGCGCCTTACATGTCAGTCTCTGCTGCAGCACATGCATCATTACTGTGGACCAGCGTGGCAGCAGAAGCCGTACGACTTCGTGTACATGCCGGCATCAAATTTAGCCATCATCAACTTCACAAGCCCTGAGGCGTGTTCAGCATCTTATCAGATCTTGAACATATTGGCGGGTGCACGAGGCATCGTGGTCACAGAGGTGGGGTCGGCGCAGCACCAGGGCTTCGCCGAGAATCTAGCAGAGTTCCATGCCAGCGCGGTCGAGTCCGACTCGCGAAGGCGTGTGCCTCAAGTGTTCCACAAGGGGCAGCGAGTGTCTCTGCAAACGGCATGCCACAACCACTTGACACCAGAGCTCAGAGAGAAGCACCGCATCCTGCGTCTCACTCGGAACCACAGGAACCAGGACAACCTTGTGGACACTGTTCGTTTCACAGAGGATGCAGAGGGGCCGGGGGTATCCTTGCAAGCCGTAGCAGCCGGGATAGATCCTGCGCCAGCCTCCGCAGAATCGGGTAGACCAACGAGCTTCGGAAGCTTGGAGGGATCAGTGACATGAATGCCGTGGGTATGGGGCCGAAGAGCAGGCGATGTCGTCGGAATGCCTTGAGCCTGTGTGGTCTTGAAACTTTTCAGGTGCAACTGTAGCATCTCAGCACGATTGCAGGGCCCGTGTGCCAATGCCACATGTGGTACTTGCTACATTCCTCCCTTTGCGATTGCAGGGCCCGTGTGCCAATGCCACATGCGGCACTTGCTACATTCCTCCCTTTGCCTCAGCAAGTACCTGCAGGAGCGATGTCTTGAATGTAGTTGCCGTGGGAACGTTTTCTGTGCCGGTGGAGGCAAACGTCACTCCTCCAGTTACTCAGCCTGCGTGGGGAATTAGGCAAAGAGTCTTGTTTCACATAAGTCCATAAGACCCGTACTGGGTCGGGGTTTCCTGAAACCCCCCAAGCAATTGGTGGCTACGCAGAGAAAGACGGTGTGACTGTGAGAGTGGGTTTTCCTGCCAATTGGATCCTCCAGTTTGATGCGTGTGAACGATTGCGACCGCCTTTGGCGTGCTTTGGAGGTGATCCTGCAGAAGGTGACCCGAGCTCTTGCGGAGTCCTCAATGCAGACTCCGTGTGGAGAGAGGCTGTAACGATGTCTGACTCTGACCAGCATGGTCCAGCATGAGACTTTGCAGCCCCTGCCAGGGCTTTGGAGGTATCAGGGACACTTGAAATCTGACGCGTCATGCAAGGACATCCCGTACGCGAACTCCTTCCGGGTCCACCATGAGCACGTCTTCATGGAGGTGAGACTCTGGCAAACCGTTACCCAGTTTGCGCATGATCAATAAGGGGGGTGTACGATTTTAGGGGTACCTTACTGGGGTCCTTACTATTAACTAGGACACTCTTACTATCGTCAACCCCCCATAGTCAACAATAAAGTCTCTCTTCGACTCGTTTCGGCCTGCAAGTCTGTGGTGTCGTAGCCGCACCGTCTGCTTCGTGGAGTGCGTCACGCATCAACATTGGCAGACCCCCAGCGATGCCGGCATTCAAGCCTGAATCCTAGTGCATTGATCCAAAATGAGTCTGGAGAAGAGGGGTCGTTCTGCCCTGGATCATGGTAAGGTCACTGTCGATCTTGGCCTGGGCATCAACTGGGTCGACAGGCATGGAGCAGTGGAATTCCACTCGCATGCCTTTGGGAGTTGCAGGTGTTTTGTCAAGCAGATCATTGAGAGCAGCACGCGCCGAGAGACATTAGACAGCATGCAGGTGGGCGACGTTAGGTGCTGTGCAGATAAGTGCGGAAGATGTGTAGCATCGACAATGCATATTTTGTGTCACATTCGCCCGATTACTTGCACTGCAGCTTCGTGCAGGATTTCATGGATTGCATGAATGAGACGATGCCTGCCTAGAACGCCAGGGGGCAAAATGGATTCAGCTCGCTTCATGGATGCGAGCGCAAAAAGCACGGTTTTCTTGGTTTACGTTCATTCCGTTCAGGTCGCCATGTTCAAAAGGCAGCCACTCGCCTTTGCCAACCCTGAACGCTCGTTCAGTTCTGGCAGGAAGACCTTCGACGAGGCTATGGCCATCGCGAAGGACGCCCGGTCCCAGGCGCTGTTCTGTAGGGCATCGAGTAGGACGTGTAGGCACCTCATGTCAAGAAAAAGCTCGAAATAGATTGTTTTGAGAGGGACCCTCCGCCAGAAGCTCTCCGGCCGAACCGCTCAAGGCTCAACAGGTTCGTAGCAGGTTTGCCAGGCTGGAGACGGTCCGCGCCGGTCGCCCGCACAAACACTTGAACTCGACGCACCGGAGCCCTGGATACGTCCCCCACGGCGTGCCAGTGCCCGCCAATGAATGGCCTTGCAACTGCTTGACACGTCATGGGGTACCCCACCCCAAGAAAGAGGAAGGATCCGAAATGAAGAGGCGATCCTGCATTGCTACTTGTATGACAAGCGCCCTTGACATGCAAGGCGAGTGTGTGGCCGCCGATAGGAGAACTCACACATGGCGAGCAGATTTTCGCGCCGGGTGTGGCAGCCTCCAGTCAGCATGTTCCGTGAATTTGGGGCTAATCTTGGCTACATATTCTGAGGAACGACTCCTGCACCTGTGGCATGTCTTGTCTCTGCAGGTTGCAGGTGCACCTGCCCACCCCAGATCAATCTTACAGTGTATACTCTGTATAGTGTTGGTTTGAATCGGTTGTCATGATGTTGCTGCAACGCGAAAACGTTTCATGTTTCACAACGGTAGAATATGTACTTTGAGTTTTATGCCTGCTGCTTTGCAGAGATTGTCTTCCTTTGTGTTCTGCAATTGGGACGTTTGTTGGTTTGTGGGTTTATGTACCGCGGCGTACTTGCATTTCCTTACGGGCGAGCGTGCAAGTGATACGAACTGTGCCCTACATCTCAGCGCAATTGCAGGCATGCCCAAACGAGGGCTTCACCACGCAGCTGCGAGCGCTGGACGAGGAGCTGAGGCCTCACGCATCTGAAGATCTCTGAACATGTCCTGTTAATTCTGCAGTGTTGCTACCTTCTTGATACTTCTGGTGTTCTTGGCTACCCGTTTTTCCTAGAGTCTGAGTTTATGCAGCCATACGTAGCTGTTTTTGGTCTTCAGACAGGAATAACCCCAAGCTCTACGAGCCCATTCCGCCTAAGCGGCGGAAAGCCTACCGCGGCTTGGCTTGGGGAGCGTTTCTTCTCAAAATCCCCCATTTCCCCGCATGATTGCAGATTGCAGAGACAAAGCCGCAAAAAATCTTCTTTGAGGCAGCGATGCCAAGCCTGCTTCTTAGGGTCTCTTTGTGGTAACGGCCTGATTGGGGCTGCTGCTCCTCGTTTGCACACGCTTGTGGAACTCACAAAGGCCCGGTGTCGGCGTCGGCTCGATGCCCGAGCTTACCAGATCTTATCAGTATTTTTGAAGATCAAGTTTAGACGAAGCACTGTGGCACGTTGGGGCATTTGAGATGTTTGCCGCATGGGAGCACGTGAGCTGCTTGGCCTGGGCTGCGCTCTGTGGAAGTCGAGGTCCTGTTCGAGGCCCCTCCGGCCCAGCCAGAGTCTCAGTTTAGGGTTAAGGGTTTAGGTTTTTAGTCGGCTAGCTTGAAGAGTCATAGCATTGCATCCACCAGTGACATCTTCCTTTTTAAGTCTGACTCCTTGCGGGCTCACCGAGGCAGGTCCCGGCCCTGCGCCAGGTCCCGGCCCTGCGCGAGGCTGGGCAACGCCCGAGTCCCCTTTCCTTGGCATGGCTTTGTCGAAAACTTTTGTGCTGACTATTCAATTGGCAACTTAACATGAAAAGTCACGAGATAACACATCCACAGGAGGGCCGTCCCCCGTGCCAGCCCAACTTGTGCCGTCGGGTTGGGAGAGTCTAGTAGTTCTTGTAAGGACATTCGTGATGACGGCTTCTGGGACGACATCGTTCCTCATAATATATTTCTGTCAAGCCTTCGTTTTGATGACCCTGCATGCAGCTGTGGCATTCGAACTTTGCAGCTTGTGTGCTTGGAAGTTCTCAACGAGCCAACAAGGGAAGGGAACGTGCTGAGCGGACTGGCGGAAACAATGGCCCACCTCTCTTCTGAAAGGCTTGATCCGGATGGGCGTTGACTGTTGCCGTTGTTTTGGGCAAACTCTGAGGTTGGCAAGGAAACTTCATTAGCGAATCATCACGAAGGGAACGGAAACCGTTCTCGAAATTGCGGAGGCCTGAAAGAGCATAGTTCTCGGGCAAAATCCGAAGGCCGACCCCGTGTTTAAGAGGAGGGTGCAAGTGTGTTGAACAGGACGCAGGCATTGATGAGCGCACATCGTGCAACGGTTCCATCATTCTATCCCGGTCTCGAAAACACCGGAACGCCCACTGCATCCCTGGCTCAGAGCAATAGCGAGGGTTCTGGGGAGGGGGCCACTCGCGGTTGATTAGCTGGCCAGGGGGCCCTGAATGACAATAAAGGCATGAGGCTCCAAAGGGCACCAAAGGGCACCACATCGCGTCAGGTCCTGTTGGCCCAGGCGTTGGTCCAAGCGTGTGAGCCCTGTTGTCGCATGCCATGCCGGATCTGGGGGTTTATGATAGTAGGGGTACCCTATTGGAGTCCTTATTGATTAATTGCGGTCCTTATTATAAGGGAATCCTACATTTTGTTTTATTTATTTTAAGGGGCTGCGCCCATGGGCGGGCAGCGCAGGCAGAAGCGCGGGGCGAGCAGTTTCTAAGCATTTTGAGGCCCCTAAACTCCCTTAAAATCTCTAAGCGTTTGAGGCTCCTCAACCCCCTCAAAGTTTCCAAGCATTTTCAGGCCCCTAAACTCCCTTCAAATCTCTAAGCGTTTGAGGCTCCTAGACTCCCTTAAAGTTTCTAAGCACTTTATAAGGCCCCTAAACTCTCTTTTTCCTAGCCCCGGGCTTAGACACGTCGCTTATGCCCGCCCTTTGGGGGGCATCATGCTCCTGATGCGCCCCCGGGGTCCCGCCCCGGGAGCCGCTGATGCTCCTGATGCGCGCCTGGGGGTCCCGGGCTGGACCCGCTGATGCTCATGATGCGCGCCCTCTGGGGGCCTCCGTGGCGACGCAAAAAACCACGAAAAAAAAACCGTTCACCGGCGGCACGCGGGGGTCGGCGGCACTGGCGTCCGGCCTAATTCTGCTTCGCAGAAGGCCAGAGGCCAGCAAGGCTATTCCCGGGACGACCCGGGCTAAAAGGTCCGCATTTGCTCGGTCCTTTGGGGACCTCGCGCTGCCCGATTTAATGGCTACCGCCAGTGCCGCCGACCCCAGACCCAAGACAGTCGCATTGGGGCGGAAGGCAGGGTGGAGCGCGGGCAGGCGGGGGGGGCGGGGGCGGGGGGGGTGGGGGTGGGTGGGGGTGGAAAGGGGGGCGGCGGGGGTGGGGGGTGTGGGGGGTGACGGTAGAGGGTTGGTGTCGGATTAGGGAGTTGGGGGCGGAAGGCAGGGGTGGACTGGGGGGCATAGAGATGAAGAAGCGATGAGAGCGGTGAGAGCGGGGGGGCGGTCGGATGGTGCACGATGGTGAGAGGGGGTAATGATGAGGGCTGGGGAGGGTTGGTGGGAGGGTTTGGGAGTGGGAGTGGGAGAGGGTGGCGGAAAGGGGGGCCTGACTCATTTGACCAGCCCTGGTGAGAGGGTTGGGGCGGAAGGCAGGGTGGAGCAGGGGAGGTGACGGTCGAGGGTTGGTGGAGTTGGGGGCGGAAGGCAGGGGAGTGATGAGAGCGGGGAGGCGGTTAGGGCGGGCGTGGATTGGAATCCCTCAAACTAGAGATTTGTCAGGGGCGGAGTAGGGGGTAGGGGCCTAGGAGGGAAGGGATCAGAGTCGCGGCGCATGGGGGGTTGAGGGCAAAGGGTTGGTGTCAGGGAGGGGTGGACTGGGGGGCATAGGGAGGGGGAGTGATGAGAGCGGTGAGAGCGGTGAGGGCGGTCAGGGCGGGCATGGACTGGAATCTTTCAACTAGAGATTGGTCAGGGGCGGAGCAGGGAGGGCGAGGGCCCTACCGGGTGGGGGGGGTGGGGGGGGGGGGTGGGGGGGGGGTGGGGGGGGGTGGGGGGGGGGGGGGGGTGGGGGGGGGGGGGTGGGGGGGTGGGGTGGGGGTGGGGGGGGATGGCGGGGGGGGTGGGGGGGGGGGGGGGGGGGAGGGCGGTGAGAGCGGTGAGGGCGGTCAGGGCGGCCTTTAAAAACACTAGAGATTCGCAGGGGGAGTAGGGCAGGGTGGGGGGGTGGGGGGTGGGGGGGGTGGGGGGGTGGGGGGGGGGTGGGGGGGGGTGGGGGGGGGGTGGGGGGGGGTGGGGGGGGGTGGCGGGGGGTGGGGGGTGGGGGGGGTGGGGGGGGTGGGGGGGGGATGGCGCACTGCACCCTTTAAACCACCTGAATGGATGTTTGGGGGGGGGGGTCAAAGGTCCAATTCAAGGCGTCATGGGTGAGGGCGATGGGTGGCGGGGTTTGGGCATGCACTGAAGCCAAACAATGCAAAAACACTCCAATTCAAGGTGTCATGAGCAGCATGCTGTGAGAGCGGGTGAGGGCGGTGAGGGCGGTGGGGGGTCTTCACTGACGCCGCCCTGCTACCGCTGGGGTCGGCGGATTAAATCAGGGGTCCCCTATTTTCGTAAACCACCATCTTGTTTTCCAGAGGTATCCAGAGGTGTCTCCGAGTTTCTCTGACTCGCTGTCTGAGGTTGGACCCAGGGGGCCTGTCGGCCCAGCTGGACCACCTAGAGGCGTGGTGGGGCTGTTTCGCATGTCAGGTTGATTCACTGTAACCGAAAGTCGTCGAGTCCGAGGCCCAGCCGGCCCTAGTGCTGGCCCTGCGGGGCCCACTGGCCCGGCGCCGGAGAAAAGGAAGGTGGGAGAAGTTTGGTACAAGTCGGTTGCAGAGCGTTCGTGCCCCTGTGTCCAGGCTGACAAGATTGGCCCTTCCAAACCCATGCCTTGGACTGAGCCGCACGATACGTCATGACGTCACGGCGAGATTGCTGCAATGTCCAATTCTGCAGTTCTGCATGCATTGCGCCATGGCAGCAGTATGTATCAGATGCATGCGCTTTGCTAGCCAAGCTTTGCAGATGGAGCTGAGGGCTGGCCCCGCCGGGCCTGCGAAACCAAAGAAGCCAAAGCCGTGAGCCGTGAGCTGACAGGGGGCCGATGCCACGGACCGCGACCATTGGCTCTGCATGCAAAAACAAATGGCTGGAGGGTTTGGCCAGGTTGCCTAGCAGTTGCTGGTAGATAGTTCTGGTAGTCTTCGCCATGATTTCTGCCGGAAGCCTTTTGACGGCTGCCTGGTAAGACTGGCCCTTAACAGACGTGACTGTGTTTCAGCAAATTGATTTAAACAACCCTGTCAAATATTGAAACAACTCATGTCCGATGTGTTGTCATGTGGCATGGCAGCTGTCTATGCCAAACCCGACACAGGAAAGTTGCCATTACAAGGGTGGTCTCGTTCATCCGCACATTCAACATCAAGTTTTGCCTGACTTCAAGTTTTGTGCTCCATGACCCCACTGTTACTGCAGGGTGAGGCGCCGTGCTTTTCTCCGTCAACACTCTCGGGCAACAACATCCATCGGCTGATCCACACCAAAAGGAAAAACTGAAACACCGGCTCACCGACGTTCACGGTGCACATAGACTCGAGCAAGCTATACGATTTCCCGCTTTTATGAGGACGCCGCCGCTATTTAAAGTTGCGCACGTCGCCGCCCCTTCGCTTGGCAAGCCTTCACTGCCATCTCCAGCGGCCCAACGACGCCCGACGTGCCAGGACAATTTTTGTGCGCTTGCTCAGGGTTTTCGGCGCCGCGCAGCCCCATGCCGCAGCATTTAAGTGGGGAAGGCTGAGCTGGCCGCATCGCGTCCTTCTTCGAAGGTAACAGCAGCAAAGTCCAAAAGGTTGAAAAAAAACTCAAGTCAAAGCTGTGCCTGTGTCCAAGTGTGTCAACTTCGGCCAGACCCGTCCCTACTGCTTGTTCAAGACCAAGCAAGCCCGTTGGGGCTTCGAAACCGTGATGCCTGCACATCACGTTGTGACGCCTGGTTGGCGGCGTGCGCAGGGTGAAGTGCTCAGGCCACCCACATTGGAAAGAGGGTATACTGGTATTCCAAGTCCGCCAACACCGCGTATACAGCAGCAAACATGCATGGCATGGGAATTGTCGGCGAAACTCGGTGCATGCCTGCGCCTTGACCCGGACTGGGCTGGCGCGACGAGGTCAGAGGCACGGCAGCTTATTTTGGGAAGCATCCCTTGGCGCGATACTTGGGATGTTTCGGAATCTGGAATTGCAGCCTGCAGACTCCAAAACTGGACAGCCGGAAATTCTGGGAACTTACGAATCCAGACACGAAAATAGTGTTGAGCTTCCAAATCAAAAGCGTGATCCTTGAGATCTGGAGCCAAAGTCTGGACCCAAACCTCTGCCAAAGTGCCACTATCTCCAACAACCTCTCGCCGCTTTGTACCCTGCAAGGCTGCGTGGGTACCTGTTGTGTTGCATCGTAATGCGAGGTGACATTAGGAGCGCAGTTCCTGCATTAAACATGCTGTTGGAGCATTTATGAATATCCTGCCAAAGGCGCAAGAGGCTTGAAGCAGGAACGTGCGAGTTTATTTTGGCTACAGTGGAGTGATTTGTCTGTCGCGCAGCCGGCATGGAAGCTGCTCAGACACGCGTCTGGACGCGTCGATACGACCGTGCCAGCCAAAGGTGAGGTGAAGGAAACACAGGATCTGAGTGCGATGCTGTATGTCCCTTATACGAGCGATTGAATGTCTTGCACGACTCGCGAGCCCTTTGCAAAGGCATCTTCACATAAACCAAGCTTGCGGTTAGTGAAGCGCGAGAAACGAGTTGAGAATCTTGTCCTCAACCCGACCACGCGCACCCGGCTGAACTCGGGGCGCTCATCAGCATGGGTTCTTGTTGCGCATGCATGAAAGCTCCCGTGCGCGTGCGCGTGGGTGCGTTGCGTGCGTGCGCGTGTTCGTGCGCGTGTTCGTGCGCGTGCGCGTGCCGCGTGCGCGTGCCGCGTGCGCGTGTGCGCCGGCTCGCGTGTCCGCGCGCGCGGCGCGCGCGTGCTCGCGTGCGCGCGTGGCGCGTGCACGCTTGCGTGCGTGCGCGTGCACGCTTGCGTGCGTGCGCGTGCGCGTGTGCGTGCACGGTCGCAGTCGCGGTCGCGTGTGCGCGTGTGCGTGCGCGTGCACGTGCGCGTGAGCGGGCGCGAGTGCACGTGCGCGTGCGCAGGCACGTGCGCGTGCACGGGCGCGGGTAACAATGCTTACGTGCATCTTGTCTGGATTTGGCACCAAGTCGTCCAGCCCGATGGCTACGGCTTCGCCATCGATTTAGCTGATGTCGTGAATATTTGATCAGCAGTCGCTGTTGTCTTTGTTGTTGGTCGAAGTACCAAGCCACCCACTTGTGTAGTGTATACACTGACCGAAGACGGTTGTTTACTACCTGACACAGGAAGGCGCCGCTGCACAAGTAAATGTTCAGCAGGCCCTACTCGTGAGCACCTGTCGCCACGCCATATTCATTTCTTTGAAAACCTGGTATCGAGGCTTGTCAATCACCATCACGGCTTGCCCAGCCGTACATTTTTTTTTGTTTTTTTTTTTTTTTTTCTCGTGTTTTTTGTTGCACCTGCCAATGCTGAGTTCACCGTCAGCTAGGCCCACGGCCTCAGCGGCAGCATGCTGGGCCTCGCGGCAAGCTCCAGCACCCAGTCCAGCGGTGGCTCTTGTGTCGCCGCCTTCATCGCCGCTGGTGGAGAGAGCGAACTGGTGGGGGCTCGTGGCCCGGTCAAAGCCGGGCCCGAACTGTTGAGCTCCTGTGCCGCGGTTTCTCGTCGTCGGTGTGCGCCAACACCATCAGCCGCGCGACCATGCTTGCCAAACTGCGTGGCACAGTCCCGGCGCTCGTGCCTTTCGCCCGCGCCATGTACGCGCGTACCTCCGCATACCTGTGGTCCGACGACGAAGGGCGGGTGCACGAGATCGCGCAAGCTGATGGCGTCGAGCAGGGCGACCCCCTGGCGCCAGGGTTTTACGCCCTTGGCCAAGCACGATTCGCCGGTGGCGGCGAGTGCTGCCCTGCAGCCCACGGAGCGCCTCGTCACTTTCTTGGACGACCTCTACGTCGTCACTGGGCCGGACCGCGCAGCACCGCTCCTGCGTGATGTTACCGGTGAGGTCGAGTGAGGCGCGGGGGTCGAGGCAAACTTGGGCAAGACGCGAGTCTACAACGCGGCAGGCGGGGACGCCCCGCCCGGCATCGACGACTTGGGCCGGGACGTTTGGTGTGGCAACCTGCCCCCAGCGCAGCGTGGCTTCGTCGCCCTGGGAGTGCCTATCGGTCTTCGTCGCCGCCCAGGCCGCTGAACGCCTTGCTGCCCAGGACGACTTGCTCCGGAAACTAGAGCGCCTCCCCGACCTCCAGAGCGCCTGGCTCTTGCTCGCTTTCTGAGAGGCTCCCCGCGCCCAGCATCGGACGATGCGGTCTGGGCCGTCGTTCTGCTGGGCGACCAGGGACCCGGCGAAGGGGACGCCTGGGCGGCTGCTCGCAGGGTTGCTTTCTGGCCGCCGAGCCTGGGAGCTGCGGAGGCGGCACGCTAGCTTCCTGCGGAGGGCTGGGAATCTTGCGCCCGAGACGCTGACGCCCCAGCGGCTGAGGGCGAACTCGGCCTCGGAAACCCTGGTTGGCAGCGACATGCCGTTCTTGCACGTCGCACTTCCTTTCGAGAACGCACGTTGCTTCCGGCCTTGGCTCCTGCCGCTTGAACCCTCCTCCACTCTTAATCCGGTCCGCATGCTGGTATGTGGCTGGCCGCGATACCTTCGGATGCGGCGTCCACCCTCGCACCGGACTTCATGCACGTCGCAATACGGCGCCGCCTTCGCTTGCCCTGCCCCTCACGGACCTGCGCTGTGGAGCGGAAGGCCGATATGGTTGTGGGTGCGAGGGCGAATGCGTATGGAGACCACCACCTCGCCTGCCCCCTCACGGCCTCGACGCGGGTTCGTCGTGGAGAGGGCGTGGACCCAGGTCGCTCGTGAGGCAGTCGGTCTTGAGGGTCGGGTCGTCCCGTAGCAGTGGTTGTCGCGCGCCACACTTGCGCACGTTCGTGCAGATGACCGTCGCCGCTTGGCGTGTGGTCCATGGCGCCGCTGCCTGGAGCCCCAGACACGCTCCCGTTGAGTGACGTGCTCGTAGCTGGCGTCGTTGGGACTCGGGACGCTTTCTGCGGACGCAAAAAGGTGCGGAGGGGAAAAAAATCATGTGAAGACAGACTCTCAAACGGGTGGGGCACGTCGTTGGACAGCTCATCGCCTGAGAGTGGCAGGTCCTGTTGAGTCGGGACTTGTCGGACCAAACCGGCCAATCCCCTACCGAGCTCTTGAGCAGGGTGTTGCACGAGGCGCCAGCGCCCCATGCAGCCAATTTTCTAGCTCTCCCGCGAAACCGTGCGCCCAAGCCTACCGCGCGCCGCACTCGCCGCGACGCCCACCGACCGTGACACCAGTCTAGTCTAGCTCGCAAGCGTAGCCGCTGGTCGGGTCGCCGACCATCCTGGCGTTGCAGGCCGCCCGCGTTGCGGCGGGCGAGGGACGCGTGCGGGGAAGACGCCGCCTGCACACCGACGCGCGTGGACTGTCGCTGAGCGCCGCCTGACGGACCAGGTTTTGCGGCACAGCTAAAACAGCTTCTCACGGATCGCGCAACCGCAAGCGAGCATCGACGGGTTCCAGGCGCACAGGCGAGGGACATGACCCGCACGTGTAGGCGAAGCATCGAACCCAGGCCCGCCTTGCGAGCGAACCACCAACATGCCAACCGCGCCCCGTCGCCCCAGCGCCGACCTCCGCGGCCAACGCGCCCGCGCCGTGCACGCACTTGCCCACATGAGGTTGCTGCCAGACGGGCCGTCCTCGCCTGCCGGGACAATTTCCGACATGCTGGACGAGGATACGCCATACGCGTCGCCGGTGGCCACCCCACGTCAGCCAGTCCCGGGCATAGGATCGTGCCGTGCTGGAGATCGCCGGAACGCGCGCCTCCGCCTCAAGGCTGCTAAAACAAAGGTTTGGAACTCCGCTGGCACTCTCCCACCAGTCCACCACGTGTGCTTGCCCTTGCCCCTGACTCCCCGATCTGGGTTGGTGGCCAAGAAACTCCCGTGGCAGAGGGTGGTGTTGTTGCCCTTGGTGTTCCTCTTGGCACTCCGGAGTTCGTCGAGGCCCACCTGCGTGCCGCCCTTGCCCGCGAGGGCGGCCTCCTCGACAACCTCCCCGCCCTCCATGACTCCCAAGTAGCATGGCTGTTGCTCTCCTGTTGCGCAGCGCCGCGTGCGCAATATGCCCTCCGCACCCTCCCGCTAGAAAGCACACGCGGCTACGCGGCAGGCCATGATGGCGCAGTCCTCCGCTGCCTTTCCGCGCTCCTGTTTGCCGATGAGGCGTCGCAGCTGCCTGAACCTGCTCAGGCGCGCGCGCAGCTGGCATTGCGGCACGGCGGCCTTGGCTTGCGCAGCGCGACACGCCATGCGCGAGCTGCCTACTGGGCTTCGTGGGCGGACGCCTTGCATGCCATCGCCCGGCGCGACCCCGACTTTGCACGTGAGGTTGCCGGCTCCCTCGCGTCTGACCGGCCACTCCCGCCGGCCCTGCAATCAGCGCGCGCGAGATGCCCGGGACTCGCTCTTTGCCGTTGGCTTCGAGCCCCCTGCCTGGGCGGAGTTGCTGCGTGCTCAAGTGCAAGCCCTCCCCGAAGACGACCCTTCCCTTGACCTCACTTGCGGGTGGCAGCGCCCGGCGTCCCAAGCAGTCGACGACTTTTGCCATAGGGCTTTCCTGCGGGAGGCCGATCCTGCCTCGGCCGCCCTGCTGGATTCGCAGGCCGGACCTCACGCTGCGCGCGTTCTCACCACGCGTCCCACCCTGCCGGAGTTCACCCTATTGTATACCGTGGAAGTCTAAACCGGTCATTGTTTTTGATGCAAATCATTGGGGAGAAAAAAACATGGAAGGCGTTACCGTCCAGCGTTCATTGGGGGTAAGCGGGTTTGTGACGTAGCACGCTGCGCAAATATGGCACACGTGACGCAGTTATCATGAGAAACGCGAGAGAACGCACTGGATCGAGCAGGGCCCTAACACGTAGGACAGGTGACTCAGCTATCATGACAGACGCGGGAGAATGCGCTGGGTCAAGCAGAATCTTCAATCATAGCACAAGGGACTCAGCTATCTTGACAAACGCGAGAGAATGCGTCGGATCGAGCAGAATCTTCTAAAATGCACAAGCGACTCAGATATCATCACAAACGCAGGAGAACTCTCTGCATCGAGCAAAGTCCCAATGTATAGACGGGCGACTCTGCTTTCATGACGATCATGGGAGAACACACTGGGTCAAACAGAATCCTCAGTCATAGTACAAGGGAAACAGCTATCCGGACAAATGCGGGAGAATACGCTGGTCGAGCAGAGTCGCGGCGGGCGGGGACGCCGCCGTGGGCGGGGCCGTGGCGTTCCGCCGGCTTCTGGGGCGCGTCAGCGTGACCATGATTCGTCGGGCAGCGATACTGCTGCGGCCCCGGTTCCAGACCACGCCCAGGTGCCGGATCGACAGCCGGTTTCCCTTCCCGACTTCCCTCGCGCTGCTTGGCAGTGGCTTGACGGCCTTGATCTCCTCGCTGAGCTCCGTCGCCAAGTGCCCACCCTGCACACCGTGCCCCGTTTTCTCGCCGCGGGAGTCCGCCATGCGCTTGTTTCCGCGCTTCAGGCGATTCGGGTGGCGCATGAGGGCCGCGACGACGTCGCGTGTGTGCGGGCGTGGAAGCTCTTCTTGCTTTTGCCGCGCTTGCTCCTTGCCCGTTGCGTCGAGACGGGTGGAGAAGGTCGGGCCGTTCTACTCCGCCGGGTGCAACTCTTTCGGGAAGGTCGTTGGGACAGCCTGCATGGCCAGCTCGGCGCAGTGCCCTCCCGCACGCGGCAGCCCACAACCCCGGATGCCTCGGAGGCTCGCGCAGCTGCGGCCTGTGCCCGGGTCCGGCGAGGGGAGCTCTCCCGAGCGCGCCAGGTCCTCACTGCGGCCGCGTTGGCGCCCGGGGACGAAGCCACGCTCCGAGCACTCACCGACCCTTCCAGACGGCCGCCGCAGCCGCTGCGACCGGTCCCGCAGCACGTGATGAACCATCACCCTGCGGAGGAGGTCGCGCTCTCCAAGCAACAAGTCGCCGACGCGCTTCGCACCTCCAAGCGCGGGTCAGCTGCTGGCCTGTCGGGCGCCACTGTCGAGTTCTACAAGTTGCTCCTCGACGATGAGGGTGCCTTAGAGGCCTTCACATTCGTGGTCAATGTCGCAGCTCGCGCGCAGGCTCCTCCGGTTGCGTTGGACGCCCTGGCCTTGTCGCGCCTCACCGCCCTTCGCAAGCCACAGGGAGGGGTCAGAGGCATTGCCACCGGAGATGTCTTCCGTCGCCTCGTCTCTCGTGCTTTGGCGCGCGCGTATGCCGGGGAGCTCGACGAAGCAACGCGCCCGTTTCAGTTCGCGTTGCGGACCCGTGCAGGCACGGATAGCCTGGCTGCCATGCTGCGCTCTGCGGTGGAGTTCGACCCGCGGGCGACCGTCGTCTCCCTCGACGGCAGGAGTGCGTATGATACTATCAGCCGGGCGGCAATCCTATCAAAGCTCAGCGAGGTGGTGCCGGCACTTTTGCCCTTCGCCCGAGCCATTTATGCACGCACGTCCACTTTTCTGTGGTGGGACGATGAGGGGACCCTCCACGAAATCTCCCAAGCGGAGGGGATTGAGCAGGGAGATCCCCTCGCGCCAGGCCTGTATGCGTTAGGCCAGCACGAGTCGCTCGTGGCTGCGGCTGCTCGCCTCGCACAGGGCGAGCGCCTGTTGGCGTTTCTCGACGATCTTTACGTCGTGACTACGCCGGAGCGATCTGGGCACCTGGGAGGTGTCGTTGCAGGTGAGGTTGAGCGCGGCGCGGGCGTCGCAGCCAACCTCGGCAAGACACAAATATACAACGCTCAGGGAGGCGCAGCGCCGCCGGACGTTGCCGCCTTAGGCCCGGACGTCTGGCGGGGTGATTTGCCGCCCGAACAGCGTGGGTTCGTCGCACTCGGCGTCCCGATCGGCCACCCGGACTTCGTTGCGTCCCAGGCCGAAGAGCGCCTGCGCGCCGAGGCCGAGTTGCTGCGGCGATTGCCGCTCCTGCCGGACCTCCGTCTACTGCGCGTCGCCCCGGGCGCAGCATTTGCTCCGCAACGTCCCGCCCGACCACATCCTCCCTTATGCCCGGGCCCACGATGACGCGATATGGGACGTCGTCACGCGCCTTCTTGGTGGGGAAGGCCCGGGTGAGGAGGCTGCGTGGATTGCAGCGCGCCTCGGCGCCTTCCTGCCGCCCAGCTTGGGGGGCCTGGGCTTGTTGGCTGCAGAGCGGGTTGCGCCGGCTGCATACTGGGCGGCTTGGGCAGATGCCCTCCCAGTTTTGCGCCAACGCTTCCCCGACGTCGCCCAGCAACTCGTGCGCGCGCTCGAAGGCGATGCAGTCGCCGCACCGCCCTGCGTGCGGGCAGCGGCGGCGGCTACGGAGCGCTTAGACGCGGCTGGTTGGGAGGAGCGGCCTCACTGGGCGGCATGTGCCGACGGGGCCCAGGTCCCGGCTACAGACGGTGAGCTCGGGCTCGGTGGCCCTGGCTGGCAGCGACGCGCTGTTCTCGCACTCCACACGTCCTTCCGAGAACGCGAACTGCTCCCGGCCATGGCGCCCGATGCGCGAGCCCTCTTTCGCTCTCAGTCTGGGCAACATGCGGGCATGTGGCTCGCCGCCATACCGGCTGACGCAGCTGCGACCCTGGCCCCAGACTTGATGCACATTGCCCTCAGGCGACGCCTCCGCCTGCCGCTACCATTGACCGCCCTGCATTGTGGAGGCGACGGAGCTCCCGGCTGCCATGGACAGGCCGATGCGTTAGGTGACCACTTCGTCGCCTGCCCGCGTACTGGCTTGCTGCCGCGCCGAGGCTTTGTCCTTGAGCGCGCGTGGGTGCAGGTCGCGCGTGAGGCGGTCGGGGCGGAGGGCCGAGTAGTGCCACAGCAGTGGCTGGCCCGGACCACGGCACCTGGCGTTGCGCCTGCGGACCGCCGCCGCTTGGACTTGGTGGTGTACGGGGCCACGCCGGGCGGTGAGGCACTCTGTTGTGACGCGACGCTTGTCTCGCCCCTGACGCGAGCGGGTCGCCCAGTCCCAGGTGCCGACGTGCGAGACGGGGCCGCGTTGGCGGCCGCGCGCCGCCGCAAGCACGCGCGATATCCCGAGCTCCTGCGGGGAGGTCCGCAACGGCTCGTCGTGCTCGCGGCGGAGGTGGGCGGCAGGTGGGGCGAGGAGTGCCAGCGCTTCGTTCGCCAGCTCCTGCGTCTCCGCGTTCAGAGGGCCCCTGCAACCCTGCGTGCCACGGCGGCCCAGGGGTGGGCAAGGCGATGGTGGGGCCTGCTCTCGGTCGCCGTGCAGAGGGCAGTTGCCAGCACGGCCCTGGGTGTCTGGACGATGCCCGCGCTGCCGGGCTCGCCGGACGGGGTCCCCCTCGCTGATGTCCTTGAGCTCGCCGATTTCGCGGGGCCCAGCCGCCTGCCGCTTCGGTGAGACGTGTGTACATAGGGGGGGTGTGGGGACCTGGATCACGACCGCCGCGAGGAAAAAAAAAAAAAAATCGGCTTCAACAAGGCTCCCCAAAAGGCTTTCAGAATCCAAACAACGCTTCAGGGAGGCTCCAAAAGGATCCCACGGAGGCTCAGAAAGGCTCCACAAAGATCCCCCCAAAGGCACGGTCACTCGGAGATGACCCTAAACGTCCCCGAGATGCGGTCACTTGGGAACTTTGAGATTTTATAAACAACGTATCAGGCAGGCTCCAACACGCCCAAACATATGATGTTGAAAGCCTTACAAAAACACACAAAAACCAATTGTGGCCTTGCAGTTTGGTTGTTCAGGCACCGCTTGCAACCGCTGTTGTAATGCTTCTCAACCCCCTGTGCACAGCTAGTGCTGGCACCTCTCTTGAAGACGAGCCCGTAGCATACGCATGAAACCAAGGGGTGCGACACATGTAGGGACGCACAGCCTGGTGGTGCTGTATGCCGAAGATGGCAAGCGAATTGTTGTAATCACCTTGCGTTCATTGGGGATTCCAAACGAACACTGGATTTCAGCTGCTTTGCCAGGACCAGGTTGACCCTAGCGTTCCTTCGGGAAATTGAGTTTGTACCATGCTTTGGTGCTGTCTAAAAGGCACTCCGCCCACAGCGTTCATTGGGGAACTCGGATTTGGTAATGTTTTCTTCGCCTTCGCTTGAACCGGTGCGTTCATTGGGGTTTAGATGTGTTGGGTATGGGTGGTTTCGACTTTCAGTGCCGCCTGTAGCCATTTTGGCTCAAGCCATTTTGGCTCAAGACTCAAGAAAAGTAGTAAAATCGCTGGTAGTTTCGCCGCTCCTGGGCACTGCGTTGCAGCTGGAGGGCCGCAACTGCTCCTGGGCGCGTACTGCGCAGCTTGAGGGTCGGGGTAGCCTTTTTTGCTGGTGCCATGGAGTGCTCTGTGCCACCCAAGCGCCCTGGATAAAGGAACCGTGACGCTGCGTGTTGCGGGGAGCCGCGGCGCCTGCGAAGGCCGCCGCTGGCTCCGGCATGCGCAGATCCGACACGCCCAGGCGGTCGCGCGCCTCTACGGCAGCCCCGCCCGGCACGCGAACCGCGCCGGTGAATGCCGGTAGCATCGCAACCAGGCCGTTCGACTCGACCGCTGCGCCAGACGAGCCCATGTCGCCCTTGTCCCGGTCGAGCACGCCGGATCGCCGAGCGCCTCTGATGGCAGCCGGCGCAAGGGCGCACAACGGCGCAGGCTCCGTCGTCGTTGTTGGGGACGACACGCCACCTCATTCACCTGCGCATCCGCGCCATGGCTGCAGCCCGTTTGCCCCGACCTCGGAAATGGAGTGCCGAGCGCCCGCCGAGGCTGCCGGCTCCCCGACAAACCGCCCGCGACAGCAGGGCCGCGCCACAGCGCCGGAGCCCTTGGCGGACGGAGCCGCTACCCCGCTCGCGTCGCCTGAGGTATGCGGCATCTGTTTGGAGACCATCCACTTGGCAGCACGCAGGGGCCAAGAACCTGTGGTTCACCCGGCGTGCTCCCGCCATTCCCGTCACCTGCAATGCCTGGCGCAGCTGCGGGCACAGGCTGATGGGCCACGCGATGTACGGTGCCCCGTTTGCGCCGCGGTGGGGTGGACGCCGGACAACGATGCTTGGCTGCAAGCTCGGTGTGCCGCCGCGGGCGTGGCGCATCCCCAGCGCCTTTCAGGCGAGTCCACGGTTCGTGCTGCAGTCGTAGACTGACCGGAGTGGCTTGCTGCAGTTCGTCGACTTGCCGACTCGAGCCATGCGCTGGGCCCCTATCCCCATACGGCGTGATGCCGGCATCGCGGCATGGCAGCCCAGTTGGATCTGCCCTCGTTGCGCGGAATCTGTCGAGCTCGCGGATCTCGAGGTCCCGAGCGGGGTCGGCGACGAGTGCCGCGAATGCAACCGCACTGTTCGCTGGGTCTTCGATCGCCGCACGCATTCCGGCCGCACAGAGTGCAGCAGGGGCTGCTCAGGCGGCGAGCGCCAGCTGACCATGGCAGCTCCCAGCGCCCCTGCCCCAGCTTTGCCTACGTCGCCTGTCCCAGGTGCAGCGGCCGCCGTGCCCGCAGATGCCGCAGCGGTGGGCATGCAACGCGCATTGGCCCCGCCACACGTAGACGTAGACCCACGTGCGGCGGGCGCCCCGCGCACGGCCGTCCCCGCTGCTTTTTGGTTTGCGTGTGGCCCGCCTGCCGGCAGCGTCAGCGATGCCACCAACTCCTGGCTTTACGTCCCGCTCTTGCACGCTGCAGCTACCGATCTGGCACTCCCCACTCCCCACATTGGAGGCGTGGCGCGCGGACCCCCGCGCACGGGGCTGGTGGGACGAAGCGCAGCAGTTGCTAATGGCCTTTGAGCCCGTTGCGCCGCAAGACTTGGCTGCCACGTTGCGACGTGCGGCTGAAGCTGCGCCGGCGCATGCGCACCATTTCCCTGATCTCCTTGCGCGGCTTGAACGCGCATGCTTGCCGGGCGGCGCTCGGGTCCATGTTGGATGGGCCGTCCGACAACTTCGCGAGTCAGACGGTTATCTGCTTGCACCGGTTCAGGAAGCTTTGCTCGAGTGTTTCGGTGGACTGCACACTCGGAGCGCTTTCGCTCCGGAACGGCGGGTCAGCTTCCACCAGTAGCGCTCGAGCCCGCTGCTCCCGACACAGGTCCAAACGCGAGGGGGCCACAGCCAAGGCGAGCCGCCGAACTGGCCTCGCCTGCTGGCGGCGACGGCCCAGCCTCCTCAACCAACGAGGCAGCGGCGGATCAGGAAAGGGCTGACCAGGCAGCCAATTCTGGAATCGCTGGCGACGAACATGGGATGCTGCAGGAGGCCAACTCCGACATCGATGCAGCAGGCCCGGGGTCGGGAGAGGCACCGGCGCCCTCAAACACGCGAGTCGGCAGGGCTTCGTGGGAATGGCTTGACAGCATTATCCTACACGAAGAATTCGCGATTCCATTCCAGCCGCTACGCGATGTCCCCCGCTTCCAGGCACCTGGCGTGCGCCGCGCCTTCACCTTTGCGCTGCGAGCCCTTCTCCGCCCGGCCCCGCAGGCAGGCATCACGTCGGAAAGGGCTTGGAAGTTGTTTTTGTTGGTGCCCCGTTTGCTGTTGGCGCGCCCGGATCAAAGTGGTGCCATTGGCAAAGCCGTGCTTCTCCAGCGAATCACTGACTTCGAGGCCGGTCGCTGGCCTTCTTTGTTGCGCGCTGCGCGCCACACCGACACGCAACCGCCGCACACCACCGCCGCGCAGCCCGAGCGCACTCGTGAGCGCGCTTGCGCCCAGGTGCGTCGTGGTCAGCTGTCGCGGGCCAGACAAACCTTGACGAGCGCTCCCCCCGCGCCGGGCAACGCGGAGACGCTGCGCCAACTCACCGACCCCGCGAGGCGGCCGCCGGAACCACGCCAACCATTGCCGCAAGACCTGGCATCGTTTCGGCCGGCCGAACAGGTGCGCCTCAACACCGGCAGCACTTGGGGAAGCCTTGCGAACGGCCAAACGGGGGACCGCAGCGGGCTTGTCCGGCGCCGCCATCGAGCACTACCGCCTACTGTTGGAGGATGGCGACGCGCTCGACATGCTAGCGCAGGCGGCCACGCAGCTTGCAAATGCTGACGTGCCGGAGTCGGTGCTCCGTGCCTTGGCACTTTCGCGCCTGACAGCGCTTTCCAAACCTGCGGGCGGAGTGCGCGGAATCGCTACCGGAGACACGTTGCGCCGCCTTGTCTCTCGAACGCTAGCCCGGCAGTTCGCGCCAGTGTTTGACCGGGCAACTCGCCCATACCAGTTCGCGCTGCAAGCGCGTGCCGGCACAGATTGCTTGGCAGCCATGCTGCGAGCCGCGACGGAGCTGGATGCTGATGCCACAGTCGTTTCGTTGGATGGCCGATGCGCCTACGACACCGTCTCCCGCACGGCATTCCTGTCCAAACTCCGGGAGGTTGCCCCTTCCCTGGTGCCATATGTGCGCGCCTGGTACGGCGCCGTCTCCACCTATCTGTGGTGGGATGCCGACGGGCAGCGGCACGACGTGCCACAAGGGGAAGGCTGCGAGCAAGGCGACGCGTTGGCGCCGGCGTTGTTTGCTTTGGCGCAGCTTTTGCTGACGATCTTCTGCTGTATGCGAAGTCTTGTAGTGAACTTACCACAATGATCACGTTCTTGAAGCAAGAGCTGTGCAAAATTGGCTTGGAATTGAATGCAGACAAAACCAAGATATTCACAACGTTGTCTCTCGAATCACCAATGTACATTGAAGTTGATGACGATTTGCTGGAAGTGTTGTTCGAAGGCAAGACGCACAAATATCTGAGGCGCCCCCTATCCGGAAATGTTACAAAAAGGGCAGCTGTCGAAGTCGCTCACCGTTCACAAGTGGCTTGGGGGAAGTTCATGAAACACAAGCACGTTCTGCAGAACAAACATATTGCAGTTCGTAATCGGCTGAAGTATTTCGATGCTGTGATTACTCCCACTGTGCTGTTCAGCTTGCACGCGCTGCCTCTGACCCAGAAGCAACTTCATGACCTCAATATCTTGCAAAGGCGTATGCTACGTTCTTTCTATTGTTGGTTGGCGACGGGTGGATGGTGAACCATGGTCTGACACCATGACGCGCATGAATCAACGGGTCGCCTCCGCCCTCCAACAGCACCCTGTCACTGCGTGGGATCAGCAATTGCTGTCTAGGCAGTACAACTTTGCGGCAACCGTGACGAGAAGTCAATGGCCGAGCTTGGTTTGCAAATGGGATCCCAGAACTCGGTGGTCAGCGAATACGACAACACGACCCACTAGAATTGTGGGCCGGCCCCGTGCAAAATGGGATGATCGACTGTCAAAGTTTGCTGCCCAATGCTTCCCAAACTATGTGAGCTGGATTGATGCTGCGTGTGATGTTGAGCGTTGGAAGCTCAAAAAAGCTGAGTACATAGAAATGTTCAAAGTGGAAATGTAAATACCTGTAGTTCGCGAGCGCTTTTCCAGCAACCTGTCCCATGTCCTTATAGGACCGTAGCTTGACTCGAACGGGCAAAAGCAAAGATGGACTGCACGAGGCGCAAGGTCGCCTCCAGGCGGGGGAGTTCTTAGCAGCATTTCTGGACGACCTGTACCTGGTCACGACCTCGCTTCGCGCCCGAGCCGCCCTCGACGACACCACTGCAATTGTCGAGGCGCGCGCCGGAGTAGCGGCCAACCTTGGCAAAACGCGCGTGTACCGCATGGCCGGAGGCCCTCCCCCACCTGGCATAGCCGAACTCGGGCCGGACGTGTGGTGCGGCGTGGCGGACGCGGCAGACCGCGGCTTCGTTGCGCTCGGCGTCTCCATCGGCAGCGCCGACTTCGTCCGTCGCCGCTTGGAGGAGCGCCTGCAAGCCGAGCAAAGCCTGCTACAGGAGCTTAGGCAGTTGCCAGATCTGCATTGCGCGAGCCCGCGGGCACAGCATGCAGTACGCACTGTGCCGCCGTCCGAGTCCGGCGAGTACGCGGCCGCGCATGGTAGCGCCATATGGCGTACGCTGCAGCATCTCCTTTCTGAGCCCGACGCGGAAGGTGAGGTTTGGGAAGCAGCCCGCTCACTGGCTTTCCTGCCCACCTTGTTGGGCGGCTTGGGGCTATGCAGCGCCGAGCGGGTGCGCGCGGCTGCATATTGGGCAGCGTGGGCGGATGCGCTCCCAGTCATGCACCAGCGCAGGCCGGATGCTGCGGCGCGGTGCGCGCGTGAGCTGGCGGCTGCCGACGCGGCAGCAGCGCCTTCATTGAGGGCCGCGGCAGCCGCAGGCGCTGTCCTGGATGCAGAGGGTTGGACCACGCGCCCGGACTGGCCCGCCCTCCTGGAAGGCGTAGCCCCAGCGCCCGCGCCCGACGAGCCGGCAGAGACCGGGGATTGGATTCGTGGCTGGCAGAGACCGGCAGCTCGCGCACTCAACACGTCCTACCGCGAGCGCCTCCTCCTCAGCCTCCGTGCCGATTCCCGTGCGCTGCTGCGCTCACAGTCAGGTGCCCACGCTGGCGAATGGCTCCGCGCCATCCCAGCAGACGCAGCCAGTACGCTCGCGCCGCCCGAAATGCTCATCGCTCTGCGCCGACGCTTGCGCCTCCCCCTCCCCTTGGCAGCAGCTCGGTGTGGTGGCGGTGGCGAAGCCGGTTGTGGCGCCCGCGTCGATGAGCTCGGGGATCACCGTGCTGCATGCGCCCGCAGTGGCCTGCTGGCGCGACGAGCCCCACTCCTCGAGCGCGCGTGGGTGCGGGTCGCTCGCGAGGCGGTTGGCGCTGAAGGCCGCGTTGTGCCTCAACAGTGGGTTCTGCACACTACCGCGGTTGGGATCCCGGCCGACGATCGGCGCCGCCTCGACTTCGTCTTGTACGGCGCCACCAGGCGCGGCGAGGCGCTGTGCTGCGATGTCACGCTCGTGTCACCCCTGCGCGCGGACGGGATGCCGCAGCCGGGAAGTCGCGATCGTGACGGCGCGGCAATCGAAGTCGCGCGGCGCCGGAAACTCGCACGGTACCCTGAGCTTGCTCGGCCCGGACCGCAAAGGCTCGTGGTGCTGGCATCTGAGGTCGGCGGGCGTTGGGGCAGCGAGGCCCACGATCCTCGTTCGCGTGCGGTCCCTGCGAGCTCCCCCCGTGCTGCGCGCAGCTGCTACAGCAGGCTGGCAGCGCCGCTGGTGGGGGTTCCTGAGCTGCGCGCAGCAGCGCGCGCTAGCGTCCACGCTGCTGGGCGGCATCTGGCGCGCACCAGCGCAGCCGGGCGGCGATGGGCAGCCGACGCTCAGCGAAGTCGTCGAGCTTGCCGAACCGGCGCTGCCCTCTCTGCTGCCGCTGCGCGCCGCGTAGGAGCATGGAGGAGCGGGAAGAAGGGCAGACTGGACACTTCCTGGCTGACGGAAAAAGGCGTGCGAAAAAAAAAAAGTTCACCCTGGAGTCGCCCCTTTTCCGGGTCGTACTGCTCCGCAGACTCCGGCTGCCGTTGCCGCTGAGCTCTGCCAGATGCCGGTGCCGCGCAATCCATGATCCTTACGGCGACCATCTCGAAGCCTGCCCTCGCTCTGGTGTTCTTCGTGCGCGGGGCGGCCCTCTCGAGCGTGCTGCCGCCAGGATGTGCCGCGAAGCTGGTGCGGCCGTCGCCCTCAATGTGCTTGTCCGCGACCTCAACGTCGACCCCATCCGGCAAGACGACAGGCGCGTCGAGGTCATTGCCAACGGCCTGCCACTGTGGGGAGGAGCGCAACTCGCAGTCGACACCACGCTCGTGTCTCCCCTGACGGCTGCCGGGCTCCCCCGCAGGGTTGCCGGTGGCACAGCTGGCGCTGCGCTTTTGACTGCCCGACGTGCCAAGGAGCGCGCATACCCTGAATTGTGCGGGTCCGGCCGCTGCCGGCTGACCGTCGTCGCGCTCGAGCTTGGTGGGCGCTGCAGCACTGAGGCCGCAACCTTTGTCCGCCTGCTCGCAAGGTGCAAGGCGCGGTCAGCACCGCCCCCTTCACGAGCCGCCGCCATCTCTGCCTACATCCTCACAGACTCAACTGCGCAGCCAGAGAGTCTGTCCTTGAACAACCGTTGACGGTCAGTACATTTTTTTGTTTTTTTTTTTACCCCAGTAGGGTGTGCTGCCACTGGCTTGGTGCCATGCCAGCGCAACACGTGAAGGCTTCTGAGCGAGCTCATGAAGACACTTCCCCAGCAAAAATTGAGGTGACAAGTTGGAGACATATCAGTTGTCACACTGATAAGAACAGATACTACACTTGATCATAGCCAAAAGGCCGAGACACGCCAGTAGGATGTCGCCCGGCTGGGGCTAGAGCACAGGGACCGCATTGGACGTTGGTAAAAAGGTGCGAAAAAAAAACAGTCGGGCGAGGCCACACCAGGTTTCACGCTTCGCAATCCCCACACCGGGATGCGGCGCCGCCTTGGCAAGATGCGCGTCCGCCGAGCATCCAGCCCGGCCAGCGTTGCTCTTGGCTTTTCGTGCCCTTGCTGCATGCAGGCGCCGGCCACCTGACAAGCGCGGCCGAGCAAGCCTGGCGGGAAAGAGCGGACTGCGGGACACGCTTTGCAGAGCTTGCTGCTGCCCTGCGCCGTGCCCCTGGAGTACCGCCAGCATCCGCCAGCCACGCTGCTTCGCCTCCTTCGCGCAGCCGCGGATTGCGCGCACGCCAAGGTTGAAGCATCTGACGCGGAGGCGGATGGGCTCGAGCCGGCTGCAGCACAGCTATGCGCGCTTCCTCCGGACGCCCCGTTGCCGGTCTCGGCAGCGGTGCTCGTGTGCATGGCGCCCGAGGGCTACCTCACCGCCGCGCGCTCGCGGCCGCAGCCCAGGCGTTGGCGGACGACATTCGCGCCACGTTTGAGCCCTTGCGCAACCCCGCCGCTCACCGACGCCGTCGGCCGAGAAGATCGCGCCGCCGCCGGCATGCCAGCCATCAGAGCGGCGACGCAAATCCTGCAGACATCGATTCGGACGGCGCTGTCCCCACATGATCCCACGTGCCCACCGCCCGTCGCATCGACGAGCGACGCAGCCTGGGAAGCCCTAGACTAGACGAGGTTTGATCTAGGCGAGGAGTTTCGCCACCCCGCTCCCACCCTGCAGGATGTGCACCCTTTCATGCGGGCGCGCGTTGACACGTCAGCCCTGACGCGCTTGCGCGCAGCGCACGCGGCCGGTCACGGCGCGGGCCCCAACGCTTCCAGCGCATGGAAATTCTTAAAGAAATTCTTCCTACTCGCCCCACGCATGCTGCTAGCACGCCCGGAGCAACAAGGCTCGCAACAGCTCCTTGCTGCTGCGCGGCCCGGGCCTCGCCAGCCGCCAACGGAGCTCGACCCCGCCGTAGCGTCCGAGCGCAAGCGCCAACGCGCATGCGCCAAAGTCCGGCAGGGTGAGCTCTCTCGCGCAAGGCACGTGCTCACGGCAGCCGAGCTCGCGCCGGGCACGGAGGCCACGTGGGACGCGCTCACTGATCCCGCGAAGCGCCCGCCCGAGGCGCGCGTCGCGCCGCCCGCTGAGTTGCCTCAGTACCGACCCGAGCTCCCCGTTCAGCTCTCCACCCAAGCGGTCGCCAGCGCGCTTCGTGAGGCTCGACGGGGCGGGGCGGCTGGCTTGTCTCTAAGCTGTCACACGGTGCGTCTTCCAGGTTAGCGGGAAAACCGAGCAGAAAAGTTACTTTTCGAGAAAAGTGGCTTTTCGAGAAAAGTGGCTTTTCGCGGACGCGGCGCGCACCAACGCGGCCAGAAAAGTCACTTTTCGCAAAAAGTGGCTTTTCGCGAAAAGTGGCTTTTCGAGAAAAGTGGCTTTTCGCGGACACCGTGCGCTCCAACGCCGCGAGAAAAGTCACTTTTCGCAAAAAGTGGCTTTTCGAGAAAAGTGGCTTTTCGAGAAAAGTGGCTTTTCGAGAAAAGTGGCTTTTCGCGGACGCGACGCGCGCCTCGCCGCGAGAAAAGTCACTTTTCGCGAAAAGTGGCTTTTCGAGAAAAGTGGCTTTTCGAGAAAAGTGGCTTTTCGGGACACGGCGCGCGCAACGACGCGAGAATTGTCACGTTTCGCGAACAGTGGCTTTTCGAGAAAAGTGGCTTTTCGAGAAAAGTGGCTTTTCGAGAAAAGTGGCTTTTCGCGGACACCGTGCGCTCCAACGCCGCGAGAAAAGTCACTTTTCGCAAAAAGTGGCTTTTCGAGAAAAGTGGCTTTTCGAGAAAAGTGGCTTTTCGCGGACACGGCGCGCGCAACGTCGCGAGAAAAGTCACTTTTCGCGAAAAGTGGCTTTTCGAGAAAAGTGGCTTTTCGAGGAAAGTGGCTTTTAAAGAAAAGTGGCTTTTGAAAGACGCTGTGCGCCCCCACACGGCGTCCGCCATTGAAGCAACCAAGAGAACCTCTACGCCTCCCTTTTCCGTTTCTCTTTTGGGTGCAGGGTTTAGGGTGTAGGGTGTGGGGTTGAGGGCTCGGGGTTCCGGGCTGTGTTTAGTATTTAGGGTTTATAGGGCGGAAAGTTTACCGGCGGGGTTCAGGGTGCGTGGTGTTGTTGGTTTAGTACTTAGGGTTTAGAGTTTTGATTTTGAGGTTCAGGGTTTGGAGGTTTCAGGGTCTATGGATCTGAATGGGTTCTAAGGTCGACAGGAAACCAAGCAGTCCCTGCAATCTAGGATATGCTTTTGGGAAACCTCCAACATTGAAACCGAATCACAGTGTTGGCACGACAAGGCACCCACGGCGGCATTTATGCCGGCCTTGATAATCATAGTAGAGCTGGGGGGGATTCTGGAGTTCTAGTAGCGGGGTTCACAGGCCTGACATAGTCGCTGTCGAAGATTAAGAGCATTAAGCAAGCCCCGACGATGTTTAGGGTTTAGGGTTTAGGGTTTAGAGTTTAGGGTTTAGGGTTTAGGGTTTGGGGTTTCGAGTTGAGGGTCTGGAGCAAGCCCTCAGGACTAAGACCCAAGCTCTAAAGCCTCCCCGAAACCCCAAACCCGAAAGCCTATGCCCTAAACCCTAAACCCTAAACCCTAAACCCTAAACCCTAAACCCTAAACCCTAAACCGTAAACCCTAAACCCTAAAGTCCCCCTTTGAACACGAAGGGCACTTCTCTGTTTGTCCTGAGGCTGCTGGGCCAAACCCTAAACCCTAAACCCTAAACCCTAAACCCTAAACCCTAAACCCTAAACCCTAAACCCTAAACCCTAAACCCTAAACCCTAAACCCTAAACCGGTTTAGGGTTTAGGGTTTCGAGTTGAGGGTCTGGAGCAAGCCCTCAGGACTAAGACCCAAGCTCTAAAGCCTCCCCCAAACCCCAAACCCGAAAGCCTAAACCCTAAACCCTAAACCCTAAAGTCCCCCTTTGAACACGAAGGGCACTTCTCTGTTGGTCCTGAGGCTGCTGGGCCAAGCCCTACACCCCAAAACCCAAAAACCCTAAACCCTAAACCCTAAACCCTAAACAGGAAGAGGAGAAAGGTGGCTTTTCGCGGAACGCGGCGCGCACCAACGCGGCCAGAAAAGTCACTTTTCGCAAAAAGTTGCTTTTCGAGAAAAGTGGCTTTTCGAGAAAAGTGGCTTTTCGAGAAAAGTGGCTTTTCGCGGACACCGCGCGCTCCAACGCCGCGAGAAAAGTCACTTTTCGAGAAAAGTGGCTTTTCGAGAAAAGTGGCTTTTCGCGGACGCGGCGCGCGCCTCGCCGCGAGAAAAGTCACTTTTCGCGAAAAGTGGCTTTTCGAGAAAAGTGGCTTTTCGAGAAAAGTGGCTTTTCGCGGACACCGCGCGCTCCAACGCCGCGAGAAAAGTCACTTTTCGAGAAAAGTGGCTTTTCGAGAAAAGTGGCTTTTCACGGACACCGTGCGCTCCAACACCGCGAGAAAAGTCACTTTTCGCAAAAAGTGGCTTTTCGAGAAAAGTGGCTTTTCGCGGACGCGGCGCGCGCCTCGCCGCGAGAAAAGTCACTTTTCGCGAAAAGTGGCTTTTCGAGAAAAGTGGCTTTTCGAGAAAAGTGGCTTTTCGGGACACGGCGCGCGCAACGACGCGAGAATTGTCACTTTTCGCGAAAAGTGGCTTTTCGAGAAGAGTGGCTTTTCGCGGACACCGTGCGCTCCAACGCCGCGAGAAAAGTCACTTTTCGAGAAAAGCGGCTTTTCGAGAAAATTGGCTTTTCGAGAAAAGTGGCTTTTCAGGGACACGGCGCGCGCAACGTCGCGAGAAAAGTCACTTTTCGCAAAAAGTGGCTTTTCGAGAAAAGTGGCTTTTCGAGAAAAGTGGCTTTTCGGGAGCATTTTCCCCGTAACGTCAAAGACACCCCACACGCCAGCACAGGCTTGTCTGGCATGAGGGCTGAGCACTTGAA